CCACAACAACTGGGTCGGCCGACAAGACCCTCGTCATCCTCAGTCTCAGCATCAGACACCTCGTCCCCCTGCGCAACATCATCATCAGCAGCCTCAAGGACCACAATCAAGAGCTCCTAGAAACATAATCGCGAACATGGCGACGCGTCGACGTCGCACTGCTGAACCTGACGAAGAGGACGAACTCCAAGGAAGACTCATTGAACCAGAAGAGGGATGGAACAATCCCCTCACAAAAGACCACTACTACGAGTACCACGAAAACGAGCAAGATTGGCACCTGCCAATTACACTGCGGGAGAGCCCGCCACATGACAACCAACACTACGTACATGTGGGATGGAAGGAAGACGAATGCCCCTTCTTCCACATGCGCTACAAAACAACCTTGGTGACTCCGCGATTGGCGCTACTTCTGCGCAGGAACAACACTGACAACCACCCTGGACAGCTGCTGCGGACAGCACATGGTGGGATCCACTCTACACGTCTCGAACCTGAGTCGCGCCTCCGCAACTTACGTTACCGTTGCCAACAATGAGCAGCTGCGCGCCAATGCGCAGGGCATCGTGGTCCTGCAAGTACGAGACAGCGACACACACATCTCATTCAACCTACTCTCGGCAGGACAACTCAGAGACTGCGGAGTCATGATCGCCACAGACCCAGATACACGCGACCTCCTACTCACTTACGCCCCACCATACACTCCCCCTGAGTCATACAAATACCTCGGGCGAGCTCGCTCAATCAACGGAATTTACGTCCTGGATTTTGACATCCCAAACTGCCAAGCTTCATCTGACAAACTCGTGGATCTCGTCCCTCTTGAGTTCGCTCTCAAGAACAAGGAATCATGGGAACACCCAGATGGACGGCCGTGGATTCGCCGCGGCCCTCATCACCGCGAGATCAACCTGCACGAGCCAGACATCAATGGTCGCTGCACCACCTGTCACACGCCCACAGCAAGCCGCACAGAGCAAGTGGAGAAGGACTATGCGGCAATCCAGGAGGCGGAGAGTGCCGAGGCAGAGCCCACGGGCATGACTGAAATGGAACTTGCAGTAACCACTCACCGCATATTCGGTGAAGGGGACGACGACCGCGGCTTCACACCGCAAGTGTGACCCACGCCGCGTTCCAACACTCTTCACTTCATCCTCACAAGCAACACTGGGACTTTCGACGAAGAAGGCCGCCCGCGCCCTTACACTCGCAACGTCTATCGCACGGAGATTGACCCGACCCGGAAAGATCCTGACGCAAAAGGGGAGCTGAGCATCAAGGAAGAACATGACAAGATCAGGGCAGAAAAGAAACAAAAGCTGTACGAAAAGCGCATTGCGGAAGGATGGGACGAAGAGTCAGCACAACGAGGCGCATGGGGGGACGACGACTACGAAACGGAAGGTGGTGCAACCTGGGCATCTGCCACTGGAGCATGGGGAGCCATCGCCAGCAGCACAGTCACTACGGGAGGATGGGGAACAGCCGAACCCGACGAAGGGGAGCTTACTCAAGAGGAATTAGAAGAGGCTGAACGGGAAATGAAGGCTGAGCGCGGAGAAGAATCACCTCGCGTCGTCATTCCCCTTGGACGACCCCCACGAACTCGCGAACCTCCTCGCTCACCTCATCGTTAGAGTGATCCCTGGTCGAAGATTGAGGAGGGGAATATACCACCAACTCCTCCGCGGGACTCACTTGGTCCAATCTCCCGCCAGGATCCATTCGCTCGTTTCATTGAAGGCACAATGACCCCACTCACCATCATCCCTGACCGTGATTTTCTCGCCCTCTACCTCACAACGGCACCTGCAGAAGGGGAGACAACGGCAGAAGCAGAAGCAGAGGAGCCGGACAACGAAGCAGAACAAGGAGAAGAGGAAGAACCCCCACTCCAGATCCCGCAAGAAACGGAAGCAGAAGCAGCAGAATATTGCGCTCGCTACAAGCGCACCTCCGGCATCCGCGCCGAAGACACAAGACTCTCGCCAGCGGTTGGGCCACCCCTCGCGCCAGACTCTCGCCAACTGCCTCCGCGCTAAGGTTTTTCCGCCAGGAGCACTGCTGCGGCCCGACGGAACAGAACCGCACAACACCCCACACCCGATCACTTGCAGCGTCTGCCCCACCGCTGCGCTCTCCCACAGCTCCTACCCCTTCCTGGAACCAAGTACCAACCGCTACAAGAAACTGGAAAAAGTGTACAGCGATTTTATCGTACTCACCTTCGACGGCATGAACAGCGAGAAATATACTCTCACCTTCATCGACGCCTACCCACGTCACGTGTGGATTGCCAACGTCGACGCCCACTCCAAGGCCCTAAAAGTCTTCCGCATCTGGCTCGCACACGCGCAACGCCAATCAGGGAGGAAGCTGAAAATCTGGCAGAGCGACGAAGCGAAGGAATTTTGCAGCAACGAACTGGAGAGCGTTCTTACTGAGAAGGGGATCAAGCACGAGATCTCTCTCCCCTACGCTCATCAGCAGCAAGGCGTCGCAAAGAGGGTTAACCACACCCTCATGACGAAAGTGCGCGCCCTCATGAACCAGTCCGGCCTACCCAAGAAGTTCTGGCCCTACGCCATGAACCACGCGGTGCGCCTGCACAACCTCCTCTCCACCACGGCCAACAGGGACAACCTTTCCCCGCACATGAAGTGGACCGGCTCCAGAGGAGACCCCTCCATGCTGAGGGTCTGGGGGTGCATGGCGTAGTATCGACCGACATCAGCCACAATTGGCAAGTTCGTTCACCGCGCGGGCTGGGGAATTCATTTGGGGCTCAGTCACGGGCACAAAGACTGGCTTGTTCTCGACATTGACAGCAAGGAGGTTGTTCCCGTGCGCGATATTTTCTTCTACGAGCGACTCACCTTGAAGCAGTGGATCGAAGATGAACGTCGCACCGAGGCACGTGGCTACGTCAACAGCGGTCGCAGCTTCGCGTCCCAAGAAAGCGAAGCGGCAGCAGCGGTACTGGATCGAGAGGACACTGACGAACATCCAAGCGTACCGCCTCGCCCACTGAACGACGACGATGACGACAGCGACGATGATCCCGCGCCAGGACCGTCACGACACCAAGCTGAGCCAAGCACCACAGCGCCCGGCTACGAGAGCGGAGACGACGACGTGGTAGAAGTCACCACCACAGACAACACCAATGTGTCCGGCCTACAGCTTCTCGGCCTGCAAAACGCCAGTCACTACTCTCGCGCGCGCCGTGGAGCCCAAAAATCCTCGCCATGCCCTGACCGGCCCTCACCCTAAGGAGTGGCGTGCCGCGATGGATGCGGAGCTACAAGCGCTGGAGTCTCGAGACACATGGGTCCTGGTCGACCGTACAGCAGTGAAGGGGAGGAGGGTACTCAGCGGAAAATGGGTTTTTTCGCCTGAAGACTAACGCTGACGGCACCATCGAGCGATTCAAGGCACGCTGGGTCGTACGTGGGTACGATCAGCGCCACAGCATCGACTTCGACCAAACCTTCGCTCCTGTCAGCCGCCATACCTCCGTCAGAATCCTACTCGCCATAGCCGCCGCTAAGCACCTACCACTGCGACAGATCAACGTGAAGAACTCGTTCTTAAATGCTTTAGTGGATGCGACCATCTTCGTGGAGCAGCCACACACCTACAGAGAAGGAGACCCCAGAGTCTATCAGCTCAAGAAATCTCTTTACGGGATCAAGCAGGCGCCTCGCCTCTGGTAGCAGCATCTGCACAAAATTCTCCTCAAGATCCGCTTCAAGCAGCTACCGCACGACCCGGGAATGTATCGCCTTCACTTCAGTGGCGACTACATCCTCCTGACAGTTTACGTCGACGACCTACTGTACACGGGCACCTGCAACAAACTTCTTAATCAGTTTGAGGAGAACCTGGCGCAGCGCATTGATATCACCATCAACCACAGTGTGAAGCAATTTTTGGGCCTGAACATCACCTACGCGCCAGAAACAATTCACATGTCAGCCTCCAAGTACGCAAAACAGCTGGGGGAACGCTTCAACATCTCGCCCGCACCACTCTCAACTCCCTACCGTAACCCCAGCGCCAACTACAAAACGGACAACAAACCTCTGTCACCCGCAGGACTTCAAATGTATCAGCAGAAATTGGGGTGCGTGCTATTCACCTCTGTCACCTGTTGACCCGACCTTTCGTACATTGCTAGCCAGCTGGCACAGTACTCCCGCAAGCCAGTAGCTGAGAACCAGCTGGACCTGGAGCGCGCCCTGCAGTACTTTATTTCCACACCTGACATCGGGCTCTCCTACTCCACGCTGACGACAACCTCCTTCAATCTCAACGATTACGTGGACGCAGATCATGCCGCTGACCCTGCAAATCGACGGTCCCGAACCGGCTTCGTTTTCCACCTGGAACCAACAGGACCAATCTCCTGGAACTCACAGAATCAGGAGCTGGTTGCCCTGTCATCAGCTGAAGCATAATACATCGCCGCGACAGCAGCAGATCGCGAAGGCCTGAACCCGCAGGAGCTGTTACAGGAGGCGAAAATCCGAAATTCGTCCACCTTTGGGGTAAATGGCCCAGCGTAAGTGCATCCGGCCTTTGCCCCCCGGTGCAACGACGAAGACCAAGTATAAGAGTTAAAACACCTCCCTTGCGTCTGTGGCTTGTGGGAGTAGCCTCGCCAGTAACGGCCCTCCGTCCTCCTCCTCCTCCTCCTCCTCCTCCTCCTCCTCCTCCTCCTCCTCCTCCTCCTCCTCCTCCTCCTCCTCCTCCTCCATTTCACATATCCTTCGACTTCTGTTCGTTGTTCATTCTATGTTCTCTCTGTCAACGTGTGACCTCTACCAGCCACTAGCCTTCACTGTGGGTTTGCAACTCGCGATTCCTTGTGCAAGGGAGAGGCGCGGATGCATCAAGGGAGAGGCGCAGATGCTGCTGATTGGAGTTGGAGCATGGCGGAGCATGGAGCATGGATGCTGACTGCAGCTCCAACGACAATCAACAACCGGCTAAGTTCCCTCGCCCTGATCCTCTGTTTTTTTCGATTTCGATGCCCCTTCATCCTCCTCCTCCTCCTCCTCCTCCTCCTCCTCCTCCTCCTCCTCCTCCTCCTCCTCCTCCTCCTCCTCCTCCTCCTCCTCCTCCTCCATTTCGCATATCATCCGCCTTCTGTTCATTGTTGTTTTCCTGCATTGTGTCGTCTGTTTCCTCTCTGTCAACATGTAACCTCTACCCAGCTACTAACCTTCACTGTGAGGTTGCACCTTGCGGTTCCTTGTGCAGGGACGGACAGTGAGGCGTTGCTGGGGAAACGGAGAAGCAGCGACAGGAGCAGCATCTGCAGCGGCAGCAGCAACTGGAGCAACAGCGACAGGAGAAACAAGTAAGTAGCTTCTTCCTTCGTGCATTCGGTATTTTCGACTATTTCACTCTGTTGACTCGTATTTTTCACTATTTCACTCTGTTGACTCAGTTCACTCTCTTGACTCATATTTTCTTATCTGATCAAACGTGGTTGCAACTCTCTGTTTGCTGTGCAGGGAGCATGAATATGGGTGGAACACGGAGCAGCAGCGACCAGAGGAGAGCAGCAGCGACCAGAGGAGAGCTGCATCGACCAGAGGAGAGCAGCAGCGACCAGAGGAGAGCTGCAGCGACCAGAGGAGAGCTGCAGCGACCGGAGGAGAGCAGCAGCGACCAGAGGAGAGCTGCAGCGACCAGAGGAGAGCTGCAGCGGCCAGAGGAGAGCTGCAGCGACCAGAGGAGAGCTGCAGCGACCAGAGGAGAGCTGCAGCGACCAGAGGAGAGCTGCAGCGACCAGAGGAGAGCTGCAGGGACCAGAGGAGAGCTGCAGCGATCAGAGGAGAGCTGCAGCGACCAGAGGAGAGATGCAGCGACCAGAGGAGAGCTGCAGCGACCAGAGGAGAGCAGCAGCGACCAGAGGAGAGCTGCAGCGACCAGAGGAGAGCTGCAGCGACCAGAGGAGAGCTGCAGCGACCAGAGGAGAGCTGCAGCGACCAGAGGAGAGCTGCAGCAGCGGCACTGACATCCTTCCAGCAGCAGCAGCTGTGGTGACAGGAAGAGAGCTGCAGTGGCAGCAGCAGCTCTGACATCCTCCTCCCAGCAGCAGCAGCCATGGAGCAAACAGCAACACGCGAAGGGAAGACCAGCTGAACGACACGACATGGCAACACGAGAAGAAATTACCTGACCTGCTGAACCGTCCCATCTCCCCAAGAGATGTTACTTGATGCTGGCGGAGGTGGCCGAGGGGAGAGGAAGAGAGGAGGCGCCAGAGTCGACCCTGGAGTCAACTCACAGCAAGGCGAGTCAACGGTATGAGCAGAAGGCGCCAGAGTCAACGCTGGGGTCGTTGCCAGCAAGGGAAGGGAGGAGAGGAGACAGTTGGACTGACATCAGCGGTGGCAGCAGCAGAGGAAGTAGAAGAGAGGCCCGTAGTGACACCTGAAGAGAGAACCAACGATGACACCAGCGGTGGCAGCAGCGGTTGCAGGAGAAGAGAGGCCCGCAGTAGCAGCAGCGGTGGCAACAGCAGCAGTGGTGGCAGCAGCAGCAGAGGTGGCAGGAGCAGCAGCGGGGAGCAGCAGCAACAGCAGCAGCAGCAGTGGAGGGAGATGGCTGGGACCTGCTGGGAGGGGCATAGATAGGATGTGAGGAGAGCGAGAGTGAGAGGCGAGCGGAGTGTTGAGAACTGCAGCAGGCTGCAGGGTGAGGGTGAGGGGAAGGAGGAGAGAGTGAGAGTTAGAGTGAGAGTGAGAGTTGTCAAACATATCTATGTATGTTATAATTTTGGGTAGGCTGTAGTGGGGTAGACTATTTGGGGTACAACCCCTTAGGGTTCTCCCTTGTACCAAAATCACTCGACATTCTAGTCACTCTTCTCATGCCTAAGTTTCTAAGAAGAGTGGGGTATAAGGACCTCGTTTGCTGGTTTGAGGCGCCTCAAATCCAGTTGTGAGCTGCCGGTGGCAGTTCTGTTGTGTCCTGCAGTGCACTGCAGTGTTCCGTTCCTCCTCTCTCCTCTTCTCTGAGTTTTGAGACACATCTCAAAACTCACTCCCTTGTGAGTCTCAACGTGAAACTCTATCTTTCTCTCTTCTCCTCACTGCAGAGTCGCTGCAGTGAGAAAACAGGGTTTTGAGAGACGACTCATCTCAAGACTCTTTTGCTTGTTCCTCGATGAAAAAATTGTAGTGAGCAAAATTGCACAGCTGGTCCTGAAGCAAGACTGGGCAGAAGACGAGAGCAGCACGTAGGGCAAGCAAGGTTGGGCGGCAGTAAATTCTAGGATAACTTTCACCTGCCCCTGGGCAGTATACTTCTGTCTGTCTTCTCTCTTCCCCCCCTACAGGGTCCCAAGCGATGGTTCCCACCTCACCGCGGTGCTTGGGTGTAACGTTAGGAAATCTGCTCCTAATGGCCAAGAGGAACCCCCCATGCATACTGTGCATGGAAATAATTGTCAGAATCCCAACCACTAGACCATTGGGATAAAAGGGCTTGTTAAGTAGCGGGTCAGTGCGCCCATAACCCCCCAAGACAACGAGCCTGTAATCCTTCCCTAGGATCAATCGAGGATCACCAGTGGACCTCTGACACCCCCCCCGCACTGGGATGCCCGAAGTGCACACACTAGGATTCGAACCCGAGACCTTCGCTCTGATACCATGTCAGAATCCCAACCACTAGATCATTGGGATAAAAGGGCTTGTTAAGTAGCGGGTCAGTGCGCCCATAACCCTCCAGGACAACGAGCCTGTAACCCTTCCCTAGGATCAATCGGGGATCACCAGTGGACCTCTGACAATAATAACAGTACACTAGTGGATTTTCAGAACTGATTCATTCAATAGGACTTCTAGTAGATGAGTACCGTAAGGCCCCGGATTGAAGCGCAGGCCTCGGATAAGCGCCGGAGCTTATAAAAGGATGAGGGCGCTTATATCCGGTCCTCGAATATAAGCGCACCCCTGAAGGCTTACGGATTATACCGTAAGCGACACCTCCAATTGTTGTATTTATAATCTTACTGAAATCGTTGTAACGAAGCTCACATTTTCATTCCCCATATTTTGAATCTCGATACCCTTCACCTCGCTCGGCTCATCGCGAGCACTTCCAGTCAAAATGACCTGTCAGAGGCATAAGTTGACTCATTCTGACTGTATGTGCTGGCAGGGAAGCATTCCCTGCCAGCTTGTCCGAGAGAGATTCTCAATCACAGACCTGTATAGCTTCGACTCGATTCAAAATGCAAAAACGAGATCTACAGTTATCTAAAAAATACGCATTTTATATATGTCATAATATAAGCACCGGCGCTTATAAATTTCCTCAATTATAAGCGCACCCCCTAAAAAACAGTGTTTTATTACAACCCCAGGGGCGCTTCTATCCGGGGTATGACGGTATCTTTTACTTGGATATTTGATATTGAGTTCCCTGAACTGGTTTAACCATAATGCTGACATTAGAATGGGCCTTCAAACATTGACATTGTGGTTATGATATTGTAATGCAAATAGGAGGTCTGTTTACTGGTGATCCTTTTTGTCAACAACGCGTCACTCTTCCCCCATCTCTGCTGCAAATTTGAGTGAATTAATTCAAAAGGCTTGAGTGGATTTGTTCAAACGCTTCAGTGTCATGGATCATTGTTCTCGTAGACCTTGCACTTGTCGCGGATATTTGGAACGGATTCGAGCGATATCCTCAGCGACTCGTAAATATGCGCGCAGTTCTCCATCGCGTGACCTCCGCTCGAATCGAGGCACGTTATTCGGCGCTTTTCTTCTGGTCCATTCCACTTCCTGAATATTTCGAGTCGTTTTCTTTGATCAACCCGCCTCCGCTCCTGCCATGTTGTTGTCCCTGGTTACCATCGTGTTTCGTCCTACGAGATACACCTTTGAGCCTTTCGCGCGTAACATCTTTAGCATTTGATGGCGGAATTCGTTTCGCCCTTCTTACCGTATCCAAAGGAACATCTCCCATCTTCATTGTTCTCAATCCTCGTCTTCCGCATTGCCCGCGTCTCCCCTCACCCGTCTTCTCTAACTCTTCCCTCGCTTGAAGGCATCTTGAGGAAGCGTGTCTTTAAGCGTGTTTCGTTAAGGGAGTCCCCGTACCTGCCTATGCACCTGGCTACCCCCTGCTTTCTCCTACTTCGCAGGTGGAGGGCCAGAAGGTGGCGGAAATAGGTCCGGGTTTGCTGGTGCTGCTCGGATTGCAGGAGGGTGACACTGAAGATGATAGCCAACAGATGTATGGCGCATGATGGTGCATGATGGTGTATGGTCAATGGTACATGGTTCGCACATGGTGCACGTGTCAGTATGCGCCGCTAGTGATGTTTGTTGGATCTGTCTGTGCGTAGTATATGCTGTTTGTGGGAGCTGGCGAATGTTACTGAGAAATGCTTTGACTGTAGTTCATGACGTGCATCCTGTTTTTCCTGCTCCTTATTATCACGATCTTCGTGTCGCAGACGCGAGTCAATCCTCTCCATTCCAATGTGGCCAGGAGAGAAAGGAGATGCAACGATCCGACTCAATGTCTGCCTGCAAGCTCCACTCAATTCTCGCTTCCTCACCCTCTCTTTAGTCTCCCCTCCCTTAAATTGCCTATCTCGTCCATCGTCTAGTTCCGTTATGTGTGCCTTCGTGATTGGTTTGTTCTGGAAACCATGGATTGATGTGATAAGGATGGCCTTGCTTGCATTGCAACGTCATCCACTCTCTAGCGTTTTAGTGCACGTGTTTTTTATGTCTGTTGGCACCCTGCCATCTCTCGTCCTCTCTACTTCGGTGCCTATTAGCACCCTTTCCATCCTCATCCCCCCTCTCCTCTCCCCTTTCATTTCATCAGGTAGTTGAAAAGGGTTTGGACCTACTTGTTGGTACGTATGGATCTTCGTTTCATGCATTGTACAATCGTACCGGTACACCTTGTAATTGTTTTTCACCTTTTTTGGATGCAGTTAGTCAGTTCACCCTTTTTGGTCAGGCGAAGGGAACACGGCTCAATTTCCATGCAGCCATGGCACAGGACAAGGCAGAGCCAGTCTATCGCCACTTCCTCCGCAAGATGGGCGAGGCATACGACCCAGCACATGTGCATAGTGAGTCTTTGTTCTCTTCCTACAACAATCTATGATGTTGGTGGTGCACATGTAACAACTTCGCAGGTCTTGGTGTTTTTGTCCCATGGACGTTTTGCCCTTCTTACAGATGGTATGTTCGGCATCAAGAGAATGGTGAGCCTCACAGCCCTTGCATTCTCGTTTTCATAGACTGTCAGTAGTCATATCGCTGCTGTTGCTAGGTAGGGAGGGAAGTACCCTGTACAGTGCCGCTTTGAAGTTCTTTGACACTTACTGGGGCATTTGCATTTGCAAGTACTGTATGCGTTATTGTCTATCTCTCCCTGGAGTCCGCACCGGTACTTCACACAGGAATCACACCTCCTTTCTCACCCTGAGATCATCTACTCACACATGGTGTGCCATGGACCATTCTCAACCTTTCTGGACTCACGGACGTCTGTTTGGCAAACAGGGAAATCTGCCATCCAAGGAATATAGCAAATGAAATGAACACTAGAGTTTTCTGCCATTGGTATTGACAAATCATATTTCTAGCATGTTCAGACAACTTGAATTTACTAACGTACATAAGAACTGACAGCTGCCAGTTCAAAAATCATTTCCTGTACACAAATTAACTACATATGCCCATTAGCACCGACAGCCTGATCGAACCCTCTCTCGTCCGGAGGAAACGTAACCACCACATCATCTGGAGGAAAGAGCGCCTTCAATATGCCCGGAGTTTTCAACAGTTGCCGACCAGAAATGTTGGGATAAACATCCACCAGGAAGTAATACACATGGCCTGCCGCCATTCCCTGGAGAGATACACACAGGCAGCAGAAAAAGGGATAACTGCTGAGACATGTACCACACATGCATAGCAAAACGAGTGCAAAGCCAACCAACTTAAGCTCACCAGAAGATCAACCACAGGGCTACTTCCAAGAAGAACGGAAAATCCCAAGAGGACCTGCGAGACGATTGAAGCATTGCATACACGTGAGTATGAAGAAGAAAAACTGCAGACACCGTTTTCCTAGCAAGTGGTAATGCATACCCAAGGAAGATAAGGTGCTGTGAAGTTGAACAACCCAAGAAAGCTCATCTGAATATTAGGGTTGCGCCTTCCCCATACGTACACCTGCATTAAGACATCCGTATACGGTGCAAGTATATTCGAGTATGAACAAGAAACTGGAAACCACCGGACTTCGGAACAAACTAGGTCGAAGTACATCCACGCACCATCATGAATGTCAGTGAAGAACCGAGAAACTGGATATTTACGAAGGGAGCAACCATAGTTAACAAGACTCCGCCAAACAGCAGCATAAAGAAGAAATCAGCCGTGCGACCACGGAAAGAGGTCTCCTCAAGCAGTTTACAATATCGGCAGAGGAAGAACATGTGGAAAACGAAATCGATGCCTGCAGTAACACCCGAGACACGGTAAACGAGCTGACAGCTTACAAACAAAGACCTTCAAACTTTGAGACTGTACCCACCAATACTTCCGAAGAAGAAGAAATTCGTAAAGAGCCGCCATAACTGAAACTTCTTGAAGATTAAGTTGGAGTTGAAATACACGGAAAACGGCGAAATGACCTGCAGCGAGGATGCGAGAAATGATTAGGACTCCTAAAGATGAATAACTAGGAAAGCGACCTAAAACAAAGTAAGCCATACTTCGAGAGCGCAACCCGCGGTTGTCAAGAACGATAGTGTCAGGTAAGACCTGGTTATAATGGGCATCTGTTTGTACCAATCTTCAAGAGTCTGCGCCATGGTAGACGACACCGCAAAAAGTGCCGTAAAGAGACGTGGGCAATGGTTATGGAAGCCTTGGGTGGTGATGAGGCGAAAGAACTAGCTCAGCTGCTACGGAATGTGTGCTCCAGGATTCACTCTCAAACTTGCAAGAGCAACGCAACCTTCAGCACCGAGACCAAACGGCAAAGAACGCGATGTCAGAGAAGCTTGCAAAGGAGACACGCAGGTGTTGAGGTGACTGACCAATCAAATTCCCTCGTGCGCGTTTCCGCCAATCAAACCACGCATAGCGGACGCGAAGAGAACCATCAAACGACTCCCCTTCAACAAACTCTGAACCGCTGGTAGGAACTACACTTCAATCCGCAATTATTCCTTGCTCACATATATACAGTGCTCTTATCATTTACTAAGCCACATATCGATTCTGGTTACAACAGAACCTGCCTGAGAACTGAAATATCTTCTATCCAACCATAACTTGATCACACGCTTGAAGAGCTTGGTTTGCAAAGTAACGCACATCTGGATCAGGATCCTCATTAAGCTCCAGTAGACAAGGTCGGATAGTTTGCTCAACGACCTGCAAGGAATACACAAACAACAAGCTACTTCAACCACCAACAAGAATATAAATTAAAACAAGGTAACGGTGAACCAAGCAGACACTTACAGATGGCTCGACAATTGGAATGAAGGACTGAAGCATCTTGGCAACATTAAAGCGGATGTTCGGCACTCTGTGGACACAGAGGACGAAGGCATGTTATTTTCATAAAATCCACAGACCAAACTTGGCACAAATGAGGGAGCAACTGCTTACCGGTCCTTGGCAGCATTCAGGATAACAGGAAGCATTGTATTGCAGGTTGCCTCAGCACCAAGCACTGGGGCCAACATAGAGAGAGAAAGCAGGACTGTCATTCGATACAGGTAGTGAGAGTTGTTCACTTTATCCATGATCTGCAGAACAGCAAGCAATTCCTTGTGAGTGGAGGGTAATACAACCTGCACAGAATTTGTTAACATGATACTGACCATTGGCAGGATTTGAGATTGGGCCCATTCTGCACCGAATTCTTCTGCTAAACGTTTCAGGTTTGTCGCAGCTGCTTCACGAATCGAGTACACCTGCAGTGCCAACATACATAGAAGAAACAGGACAGATATGAGTAACTGCCCAAAGGAAAAATAATTTGCGCCTGAAGCAAGAAACAGGAGAGACTGGTTACCTGATCTTCAAGCCATTGCATGCACAACGACTTTAACTTCTCATCAAAGAACTCCATTCCAAGTTGGCCAGCCAAGAGAGGAATGTACTCAATAATGGCAAGTCGCACTCGCCAGTGCCTGTCCTCTGACAATTCCACAATAGCTGGAAGAAGCGACTGTGACAAAAGGTCCATTCCAATGACTTGATTGACTTGATCCAGCTTGCTGATAATGTTGAGCCGGACATCAGGGAACTCATCTCTTAGCAGAGCCAGGAAGATTGGTAGCAGAGTTTCAATAGTGAGCTCCTGTGGAATGTGGGCAGACTACATGAGCACATAACCAAACTGAAAAGAGAGATGGTACCAGCGTATTGACGGAAGTGCACCTTGCCAAGAAGCGGAGCCATCCCCATGATGACAGATGCCAAGGCAGACCGTACATGTTGAGAAGTATCTGTTGAAAGATCCTGAGAGAGCGATTGACATGCAAGCTGTAAGTAAACGGATGGCTCCAACAATGCATGTTCTGTCAAAGAAAAAGAAGTCGCCGACCTTCACACATGGTAGAATGACATTGAACGCTTCGCCATTCTTAACAATGGCACAGATCTTAGTCACTTTGCCAGCAGCCGCAATGCGGACCTCTGCCTCATTGTCCCTCAGAAGCTTCACATACGCGGGGACAAGCTCCGCCCTGGTTGATCGAAAACTAATATTAGAAAAATGTAAACGGGAGAGACGACTGAACGCAAAGGAAAGGCAAGCACCTCGCGACTTCGGGACCAACGGCCTCACAAAGCTCGTGAAGCTGGTTCGCCACCATATACCGCACTCGCCACGACTTGTCCTGACAAATTGGCATAACAGCGAGAAGTTACGCCAATGCAATCAACTGAGAACGTACTAATAGCACAACGCCGCATTTGAAGGAGGGTGGACTTTTGGGGGAGGAAACGCGACGTGTGGAGAGCAACAATGCGGAAAAAAATACCTGGGCAAACGACAGAATCACAGGAAGGATGCTGGAGATGCAATACTTTTTCTCCAGGAGCTTTCCGACCGCAGCACATCCTTCGACAGCCAATAGTCTCACAGAATCTTGGTCTGCAAAACGAATGGAAGCGACATTAGCTACACGGACTGGTGAAGATATCAAATTTCGTGCAGGTCCTAAAAGACTCGTACCGTCATTTGTAAGATCTTTAAAGAATTCGAGAATGTCAAGCTTCAGGAACTGCGGCTCCACCGTGGCGGCAAACTTGCCCATGTTCAGTGCAGACGAGCGACGGACCATCGGCATGTCGTCATGACTAAGCTGTCCGTAAAGACTTCGAAGATCCGCTCTTTGCTGCTCGGTCGCGCTGGGATAAGCAATATGGAACAGCCCGCAAGCAGACACGCGAGCTGTAAACCATTCCCCCGCTCCAAGCCTCTGGCAATACAAGAGGATTTTCGGAAAATTAGCTACCTTTACACATTCAAAATTCAAGCCTTCCAGAAGAATACATTGGCGAATGCATGGCACCTGAACAAGTGGAACGAAGAACTCGACAATGTCTCGGGGCTTCATCTGTTGTCCAATCTTGCACAACGACTCAACGGCTTTATCCCGGACAACAGTCTCTTCAACCGTGCATAATGTCTCTAACGGAGGAAGGAGCACGGGAGCGTAATCGACACCACCCACGTACGGAATGAACGAACCAAGCTCTTCTGCCATAGCAAGTAGCACTTCATCATCATCGTCATTGTTCTCGTTCAAAAATGGAATTAACTCCTTCCGTGTCCGGTCCTCGCCAAGTGCTCGTGCGATGGTGCTAAGGCGTCTGATTGAGTTCAGACGAAGCTGGATATCGTCATTCTTTAGCTCGTCTATCAGAATGGCGATAGGATACAATGGCTCCTCAACGACGGCCATGTTTGTGGCCATAGAATGAGATGCCAGCTGGCCAGAAAGTAACGATCTTCCTCTAAATACTACAGTAACTACCAAACGTCGCTAGAGCATCCTTCACAAGGACCCCTAATGTTTGGATCTATGCCAGACTGCTTCAAAGGACTAGGGTTTCGAAGGGGCAGAACAATCCCACAGCCGCTCTAGATGGAGTGGGTGTGGTACATAAAGCAAGGTGTGGCACTAGTGTGAAGGGGTGTGGGGATTGGCGCTGTCAGGTCAGAGGTTGTTCGAGCATTATCCGAAAATGGCGCGAGACAGGAGATTGAGACACTCGTTTGAAGATCAATTTCAATACAAGTCGTACGACTTTTGTTGTCTTCATTCCACTGTCAGAATATTGTCGTATCATTATCGAAAACCCAGGTAATGAGACACATTATGTACAAACGAATCACACAGTATTAGAATTTCAATCAGTTGCAGGCTGGACGCATGCGCCACATTCCAGCCACAAAGTCCTGCCCAATAACTGGCGTGCATTGGCAGCACATGTGTACCGTAGCTTTCTTTTCCACCTGTAGTATCTCGCTATTCACCAGCGAAGGCTCCCACGTGGACTCACAGCCAAATCCCTCACATCACTGTCAGAGGGGTGGTAAATAGTTTTCAGAGTCCCGGATGCAACTCAACACCCTCATGTAAATCTCGGGTCATTTTGTGGATCAGTGGATTACATTTTCATTGTTCTTGGTAGTGCAGGCACAAAACAAGGAGTATATGAAGTTGGAACAGCCCACTTGTAACTGGGCCAGGCGGCGAGTAGGGATAGAAAAGACTTGAGAGACCAGGAGTTCCTTCAGGTAAGCATGTTTCGAGAGTCGACTCCCAGAACCTGGGATGTGATTTTGTGCAAATATGCTTTTGATCAAGATTCTCTCGACCCCCCGAAACCAGAAATCCAGACGGAAACAAGCCACAAACCTCGCTGGGTTAGGTGTACTGCAAACCAGCCGTCCGATAGGCAAGACGATGTACGGTGGATGAATTACCGATTTCCTCCCACAGGCAGCCTACCCCACCAATTGCGGGAGGGTCAGAGTGGATTGAGGGGAGGGAGGGGGGGGGGGGGACCACCTCCACTTGAGCTCTTCGCTGGATTGCGGTTTCGTCTTCAGCCACGTGCTTCCCTTCCTCCTCGTCACCACCGAAGGCACAAATCAGAGTGCAGTGCTCTGAAAAGAAGTCTCAAGAAGAAGCAGACGTAGAGTGTGCAGCACTAGTACCTTCTGCCGAAAATAGCTCAGCGGAATCAGGTCGACGCCCGAGGGAGCTCGCTGCCCGCGGGCAAAAAAAAAAACCCCAGATGGGCATGCATCGGGTCCCATTCCCCTTCAAGCAAGTTGGCATTGTTCAGGCATCGTCTTGCCCAAGTAGTGTCTACTCGTCTTCGGAGCTCGAGGATTCAGCCGTCAACACTACCTGTAGATTGCTGCTGTTTTTTTTCTGGATTGAAGCTTCTTTGTCTGGAAAGAGCCATTATGTCGTTCAGTACGTACCGCGACAATGTGACGGGTGTAGCGAGTCAGCCTTGTCGATACTAACTTCGTGTCGCCACGACTAGCGTACCCTAATCGCACAGCAATCACGACCAGATCAGAGCGAGCAAGCGAGGAAGTAGCGTACAATATTTTCTCTGAAACAGAGAACAGCCCTGATTGCCGCTAGAGAGAACGAAACTCATCGCAGCCTCATTCTGCTAGTACTCCAATGGGAGGTTGCCTAAGCCGATCGCATGCCGATGACTCCTTTCCAACAAAAGCCAGAGGCCAGCACAGCAACTACAGTGCACCAGAAAAACCATCTGTAAGACTAGATCAGCCAGGCGCAGAAGGCAAGGAGGTTTCGCACACCCCAGCGCAGCGATCAAAGTCACGAGAAGGATCGGAACACGGCGCGATTCGAGCAGCGCGATCGCGAGACAACTCGGAGCACGGGTCTTCAAAAGTGAAGCCGGAGCTGCCAGTAGATGGCGTGCATTTGCCGGGCAAGAAAGAAAATTCCGAGTTCCTGCCCGGATCGCGACCCGGCAGCAACGACTGGGACCGCAACAACCAGCCGTTGGATCTTTCCGAGATCACCGGCAGAAGCACGGCCGACGATGATGACGTTTCACCCAAGAATGGCCTCAAGCAGATGCTTCAAGAAGTGCGATCCAGCGACCATGCGCGCGTCGCAGCGGTCGCAGGCGACGGGAGCATGGGAATGGGGTTCGGGCAGCGAGGTGGTAACCCGATGTTCGCGCAGATGAACAGCAGCACGCACGGCGTGGGAGCCGGGGGAATGGCGGGGGCGACGTCGATGCACGGCGGAGTGGCGGCCATGGGGAGCTCGTCCATGCACGCGGGGTTCATGGCGTCCGGCTCCATGCACGGTGGCGGCACGGGACGCGCGTCCGCTGTCGCCATGCGGTGAGCGGAGGGAATGACTCTAAACAGTTTTTTTTTTTTTTTTTTGTTCCCGCTTCTGTGGTAGCTCCTGTGTCTGCCTGTGTTGGTCGGTTGGGCAGTGCAAATGGCTGGGGACAACGTGGTTGAAAGCACGGAGGGTCAGAATGATGCCTTAGATATTGCTTGCTTCTCGTGAACCCTTGCTCTACGCACCGACCGCCTGACCCATCGGGCCCACACGGTCCGTTGCATGCAGCTCAAAGTTCGTGCGGCAAATCCGTCTTTGTGACGAAACGGCCGTTTCAACACTCGTTCTCTCTCTCCCCAACCCCCCCTCCTCCCTTTCCCCCACCCCTCCTCTCTCCCCCCTTTCCCCTCCCAACCACCCACCCCCCTCTCCCCCCCCCCCCCTTCCCCCTTTTCTGTCCCCCGCAGTGCCATGCAGGCGGCGAAGCTGCGAGCGTCCAAGACGGCGCTGGAGCGACACAACGTGCAGATCGTGGGCACCGGCTCTGAACTCCTCGTGCTCTCACACGGTTTCGGGCAAAATAAAAATGTGAGTCGCACAGCTTTGGGCAGAAAAAATAAGAATGTACTCTGTCCGATAGGTAGGGTTAGGCTGTAACAGTTGGGTAACGAGCTACGCGCATGGTGAACAATGAACAAGTCAACAAGGGTCCCACCCCCATTGCGTTGAGTGTGTGTCTGATAGCTTGGCCAAGTGACTATACCTAAGCATGCACGCTGAAACAACAAAGCGAATGCAAGGTCCTTGGCTGATTTGCAGAATGCAGGGGCGCCCCTCCCCCCCACTCTCCTCCCCCTCCACAATCGCATCCCCTCCATTCCCCCCAACCCCTTCCCCTTCCCCTTGCTTCTCCCCCCCTATTCGCCTGTTCACATTGTCGTGTGTGTGTGTGCAGATATGGAGCAGCATAGTGGGGCAGCTGGACACGAGTGTGTACCGCATTGTGCTCTACGACCTCACCGGCGCGCTCGGGTACGTCAGGGTCTGTGGCGTGGGAGGCACGGCAAGGCATGGCATGGCGTGGCAGGGGCAGGGGCTGGGGCTGGGTGGGGTGGAAGGGGCATAGTGGGGCAGCTGGACACGAGTGTGTACCGCATCGTGCTCTACGACCTCACCGGCGCACTCGGGTACGTCGGGCTCTGCTGCGCGCTGTAGCGTGGCAGGCATGGCATGGCGTGCCAGGCCTGGGGCTGGGTGGGTTGCGAGGGCTGGGTGGGGTGGGGGAGGGTCATGGCATTGCATGGGCTGGCTGGGTCGGCCTGGTGTGGCATGCGGCGTGCATTGGGAGACGTGGCATGGCGTGCTGCTTGGGGGGGTGACGGGCACGGCATGACATGGCATGAGGTGTGCTGTGCAGCATGGCACAGTGAGCAGTGAATGGATGAGCATGGCATGGAATGCAAAAACATATGGCACGCTACGCAGCTACGGCATGCATCCACCCCGTTCCAGTAAATTGTTTCAAACACTCAAGCAAGCCTAAAATCATCTCACAACTTTGAAACCCCCCTCCCTCAACCCCCTCCCTCCCCCTCCTCTCCCCTCCTCCCTCACTCCTCCCCCCCTTCTCCACTTTCCTGCCGCTTTTGCTCTTCAACCTTTCACGCCTACTTGCATGCCCTCCAGCACGCTGCATAGCTCATGCCCCTCTGCTCTCTCTTCCTCTCCACCCACTTACACCCCTCCCCCTTCCCCCCACCCCCCTCCTCCCCCTCCCCCTCCCCCTCCCCCTTCCCCCCACCCCCGCTCTCTCCCGCCACCAGCACGGACTACGATGCCTTTGACTACCAGCGCTACAGCACGCTGCATGGCTCATGTCCATCCTCTCCTTCCCCCCTCCCCATTTCTACCCCCTCCCCCAGCACGGACTACGATGCCTTTGACTATCAGCGCTACAGCACGCTGCATGGCTTTGCAGAGGACCTGCTGCAGCTTCTGGCAGAGCTGGGCGTTGAGGTATGCTATGCTGAGGGGTGCAGGAGACGTATGCTTCTCAAGGGCTAGAGAGCAGGAAAGCAGGGCTTTTGCTTTGCAACCCACCGCTGCATGGCTTCGCACAGGACCTGCTGCAGCTGCTGGGGGAGCTGGGCGTCGAGGTATGCTGCAGCGAGGGAAGGGGAGAAGCAGTAGAGGCATGCTTCTTGAGGTCGGTAGGAGGACTAGTGGTTGAGAACCGTGGCTTGGCAAAGAATCCCTTGTTTGCTGGGAGAGGTGGGCTAGGGGGTGCGGTGCCAGTGTGGGCAAGGGCACAGGGGCGAGGCACGGATCAGCTGTTTCTGTCTGCATTCGCCAGCACCATGGTCATATTCCCCCACTCCCCAACTTACCATCTCCTCTCCCCTCCTCCCCCCTTCCCCATATCCCCACACCTCTCTCCTCCTCCCCTTCTCCCCCCACACTCCCGCCGCCCACCTGGGATTCACCAGGGCACGGACTGGGGGCATCAGTGCACGTTCATAGGGCACCAGCAGAGCGGCATGATGGGGCTGCTCGCCTCCCTGGAACGCCCGAGAGTGTTCAAGCGCATCATCATCATGGGCTCCTCGCCCAGGTATGCAATTCTTTGTGGCCGGCCCCCGCTGCCTTGCCAGGCGCCCAGGTATTCGCCCAGGTATTCGCCCAGGTATTCGCCCAGGTATTCGCCCAGGTACTCGCCCAGGTACGCATGTCACCAGGTGTGTCTTCTCAGCGCATCATCATCATCATGGGCTCCTCGCCCAGGCAATTATCAAGCCATATTCTCTGCTGCTGGTCTGGTTTTACAGCCTGTGTTGTAGATCGCTTGAATGGTCGATATTCTAGCTTGAGTCAATAAGCCTGTGCATGTTATCTCAATGACTCACTTCCTATAATCATCTGTGAACTAAATCCCTTGGTTGCAGGTTGTTGGATGCTCCGGGCTATGAGGGGGGCTTTGCACTGAACGACCTGGACCAGGTGTTTGGCATCATGCAAGGCAACTTCAAGGTCAGTGGCTTTGCTGCTGCTGCCTCCATTCGCTTCTCCTGTTCCTGCAACCCTGCTGATCCTCACACAGTCCTAAGGCAAGTCTCAGAGATGCGTGTTGAAATCTCTGCCTCTCATCCTATCTCCCATCCATTTTCCATTCCGCATCTCCCGTCCACATCCCCCTTCTGCATCTACCCATGCTTGCTCTGCCTCGTGGAATGGGCGCAGCTGTGGTAGGAAGCTGTGTGCGGGTGCTCACAGCGGATGATGGGAAGGTGCCTTAAGTGCACGACGTTTGAGACTTCCTATTTCCCTTGCGTATCTTCCATACATATCCCCTGCCCGCATCTGCCCGTGTGTGCTTTATTCCTGTGATGCCCTCAGATGTGGAGCAGAGGGTGTGCGCCCGTGCTCACAGCAGACGATGTGAAGGCGCCTCACGTGCGCGACTTCACCCGCCCGCTCTTCCTGCTGCGCCCCGACATCGGCTTCAGCAACCTCAAGACCGCCTTTGCATGCGATGTTCGAGACATCCTCCCACGGGTGAGTGCTCATGCATGGTGCAATGAGGGATGGATGGTACAGCAACCCTTTCTAGATCGTTCTTCCTGCTGTGCGCCGAACAGCTTCAGCAACCTCGACTCACTGAGCCTGCCTTGGTCAGTGCTCCACCTGCCTTGGGACCTTCTGCTCATCTTGTTCCCCACCTCCCATTCCCTTCGCCGTCCCCCCTTGGTCAGTGCAAATTCGTCTTCTCGTTTTCGTGCCCCAGTCAGTAATACAGTACATGCTCACCACCATTCCCAACGCCCGGTGCTGTACCTGCCTTGGGAACTTATACTCATGCACCTGTCCACCTCCCATTCCCTTTGCCTGTTCCCCTAGCAGGTGTCAGTGCAGATCCATCTTCTCTTCTTCGACCAGGACTCAACCGTGCCCCAGTCAGTAATACAGTACATGCTCACCACCATCCCCAACGCCTTTGCCGAAATCCTCTCTACAACCGGCTTCGCTGACTCGCCTACAACCGTTGCCGCGGGCATTCAACGGCATCTCAGCATGCCGATCCGAGAAACGTTTGGGCTGTCGAGTCGGCGGATCTTCAATGCGCGGTACCTACCACCGCCTATGCCTGAAATGGAGGAGGATGCTCAAGAGATGGAGGTGGAAATTATATAGACTAACAATGGTGAAAGCAGGTGTACGTTACGACGAATGAAGGAGCGTAGGTACATCGGGGAGGTTTTGATTGGGTGGAGTGAATTCCACCCACTTTGTTTGCTCTAGGCTAGGACACTGCAGGACACTGCTTACTAAGCTGCTTCGTTGTACCCAACTAGTTGTTTAGTGGAAACTCATGCAGCTCACACTGGTGAGCTCTGGTGTGAGTAGCTGTCTTGTTCGCTCACATCCAATAAGAAATACTTTTGTGGTACCGTACGATTTTGTAGGCTACACTGCCGAACAATTTATCAATCCACCCTGGTCCTTGCGACTAGAGAATCCAGTTACCCGTCGCCACAATCGATTCGCCTGCGACGACCCACCTCTCACACCAAACTCGAGAACCTCCCAGCATCAATCTGACAAATCTACCGTATCACCACAACTCTTCATAATTTCGCCCGCATTTCTCGAGAGATTTTTTCTCAAGCCCAGAACCAGTTTCTACATCCGTCGTCCTATCTTTTCGAACAGTATTTTCCGTGATTCTCTCCCGCATTACAACGGTCCGTGCATCGTTCTAGGGATTCCTCTTTGTTTCATTTTCAAGGGTTAGTTTCACGAGAAGGACTTACCATTTCGTTTTAGATATGGCGACGGCAGCGTCGAAGGAGCAACAGCAGAAGACCATCAATGTCCTTACTGCCGCAGCTCCGCTACAGGTGCGCTCGCTACGGGAATAAAAACAGTATAGTTAAAATCTCGAAAGCCCAGACATTACTCTTCAAACAAACACTCATTTAGCACCAGGACGGAGGGGAGTACATGACATGAGTGCCATAGTTCGGGATCCGTGACGCTGATCTGACAACCTGCACTGTTCACTCCGTGCGGTGGGTGCGTGTCTGGCAGAACTATGAGTTCGACTTCGGCATCGGAGGAGCGCCGGGCAAGGCAGCGGGGGCCAGCCTCAAGGACCAGCGCAGCGGCTACTCCCTCGCCTCTGTGAGTCGCCGTGATTCTCTTCCAATTGTTCATGGTTCTCGTCCCCGCGTTCATGCCAGCTGTGTCAGAGCCCTGCTCGATCCCTCACCTTCCCTCCCCTTGCACTCGCTTGCCACTGCAAATTTTCCCCCTCGGTCCCTCCATCAACCTCCTCCGCCCCGTCCTCTCTCCCCATTCCTCCCCCCGCTTTACGGGCATCTCCGCAGGTATCAAAGGGCGGGGACTTAGCCTCAATGCTCCTCGGCTCTTCCTCCTCCCCCTCCCCAGTCACCGCCGCCCCCAAAGCCCCCGCCTACTCAGGCCCCCCCACAGTAGCCCTCTCCCCCACCTTCACCCCCGCGCCACCCCCCTGGCTGCTCACCCCTTCCGCCCCCGCGCCCACACCGTCCGTCTCTGGCGTCTACTCCGTCACCATCCCGCCGCCCGTCTCCATCCAAGCCTCTTTCAAGGAAGCCCCTCCTACCGGCGTTCCCGTTGCCGGCGCTGCCGCTGCTGCTGCTGCTGCTGGTGGTGCAGCGGGAGCAGCTGTAGGCCCAGGGGCGCTGGGGCTGGCAGGAGTGGGAGCAGCGGGGGCGGGGGGGAAGGGGGCGGCTGGGGGAGGCGGGATGGGCGGGCTGGCTGCCACGTGGACAGCCTCTCCCTTGGGATCCACGAGCAGCAAGAAGCCAGACGCTCTCTCTGACCTCTGGAGCACCGTTGCATCTGGCGCTGCTGCTGGCGGTGGCACGGCTTCTGGCAGCGGTGTTGGTGGTGGGAGTGGTGGTGGCACTGGCGGTGCGGCCTCAGGAGTGTCGTTGGGTAACGGGGTAGCAGACAGAGTCTCATCGTCATCATCAGCAGGAGCAGGAACAACAGCATCAGCCCCAGCAGCAGCTGCAGCGGCAGTGCCGATAGTAGACCCGTTCGGAGACGTGTTTGCCTCAGTTCCCATGGCCCCTGCATCCTCTGCCGCCCCAGCTGCAGCAGCAGCAGCAGCCGGTGGGGACCTGCTGGGGGAAGATCTTCTTTCAGACTTGGGCTCATCCGTGCCTGATGCGGCTTCAGCTTCTGGTGCTCCTGCTGCCGCTGCTAGTCCAATGGACCCTGTGGGGGGCCTGCTGTGATACAGATCTTGCTGGGTGCTGTTTCTTTTTCCGGCCAGAGCTGGGCCTTGGTTGATGCCAGCTTTGTGTATGGCAAAGTCTAATTTATCAGTCGTCTGTCAATTCAAAGTCTGGACAGGACCTGTACGGTATTATCGTGGGAGTGCCTTCAGCAGCTTCAAAGGTTTCTATATTCTATATATATTAACTATACAAGCAATATAGTGTTGGCTCTCAAAACACTTAACAAAACCCCTTGCTGAATAACTAGGGTTGCTACAATGTTACTGACACCCCAAGCAACCAGAAGGTCAGCTTTATCAACACAAGCCGCAGCATTGGGCAGGAAATGCTGCTTTTAATCGGTTTCGAAGTTAATTAAATGGAGTCAAGGGTTGGAGACCCCTAGCAGCCTTGAGGTGAGCTCCCAGGCAACAACAGCCGCAGCATTGGCTGGGAAGGCTCGAGTAAGTGTGGGCAACAGACCAGCATAGAAACCCCGGACGCCACTCTCTCTCAGAATCTGAAACAGGAGGGATGATACCGTGTACACGTAGGGAGGTGTGGGAATGGACGTGAGACAAGATACACGAACGACGGCAGAAGATTCATTGACCAAGGCAGGGCAGAGAGAGAGAGAGGCAGCATGCCAGGGCAGCAAAGAGAGCCATCAACCAAGTGTCCAGGTTGATCAGAGCACTCACAGCTTTGCACTGGCTGAGCATGCGCAGCGACTCGGGTGATGCTGAAGCGTCTGCTGTCTGGATGCGTGTCTTGATGACGTCAAATGGCAACACTGCGGACCAGAACTGATGTGCGGGGTGGAAGGTGGGGGACGTGGGGAGGGGAGGGGAGGGGAGGGGAGGGAGGGTTGCCTTGAATGCGGATCGTGATTGGGAAAAGTAGAGAAACGCTAGCATCCACTCCACAGCTTACGCAGCACTAGGGAGACGGAGCCCAAGAAAAGAGTTTGAGGAATGACACCGACCGACAACCGTGTCAGGCCAGTACGAGCCAGACGAGCGCACCGAGAGCTGACTCACCACAATGCTGGCTAGGGCCCCACTGGCAGTGGACGTGGCAGCCTCAGCTGCCACTCACTCTATATTCAACTAAAGAATCACCCGACTCACCACGATGCCCGCTATCCCCCCACTGGCAATGGCAGTGGCAGCCTCAGCTGCGACTCTCTGCCACTCATTCGCCCCGCCCGTTCCCACAGCCTCCCTTCCCCCCGACACCCCTTCCCCTTCGCCCCCTCTCCCTTCCGCCAGATCTCGTCTCCTCAATCCCTGTCTGACTTGGCTTGACCCTTCTTGCACAATTTCAACTGAGAGGTCCGAGGAGGCGGAGGAGGAAGAAGCGGCGGAAGAGGAGTGCGAGGGGGAGGAAGGGGCGAGGGCGGGGAGGAGGCGGTGCTTGATGGCCTCGTAGGTGAGGAAGAAGCCGATGTTGCCCAGCGACTCCCTCAGTGCTGTTGCTGCCAGGCCTCTGAACAACCCCTGTGGCTGCAGCAGGAGAGGGGGAGTGGGGTAGACAGGAGAGAGAGAGAGAGAGACAAGGAGGAGGGAGGCAAGGGAGGGGAGAGTAAGAGGCGGTGCTTGATGGCCTCGTAGGTGAGGAAGAAGCCAATGTTGCCCAGCGACTCCCTCAGTGCTGTCGCTGCCAGGCCTCTGAACAGCCCTTGTGGCTGAAATGTGAAAGACGGGGGAAGGTTGAGACAGAGAGACAAGGAGGGGGAAAATAAGGTGGAGGGATTTACTACAGCAGCAATTGAAACGGAACAAACAGCTGGCCATACTGCCCGATCACACTCAATGGTCTACCCACTCACCCACTCACTCTCACAACCAGGCTCGATCCCACAAGCCTTACCCCATCGGCCTTGACGGTTTGAACCACGCAATCCCACGGGCCCTTGTAGTGACCCACACCCCCCACCACCCGCTGCTGCTGTTGCTGTTGCTGCTGCTGAAAATGCTGCTGCTGCATCAAAACTTGCTGTTGCAGAGGCGATTGCGAATGGATCTGCTGGCGTTGGGCTGCTTTTGCAGCTGTAGCTGCTGCTGCTGTTGCTGCTGATGTTGCTGGGGTGCGTGCTAGGGAGGGGAAGGCAGCGCTTGCTGTACTGAAGGGGGCGGGGTGAGCAGCAGCGGCAAACGAAGGGGTCAGGCGAGTCATGGCAGGGACGCACTTAGAGGCACCCGCTGCCGCCGCTGCTGTTGGTGCTGCTCCTGCTGTTGCCGCCGCCGCCGCTGCAGTATATACGGAAGCGGCGGGTGAGAGAGCTGGAGACTGGGCTTGCACTTGCAGGCGACACTGCAACAGACGAACAACAGACGAACAACAGACGAACAACAGGGAGGAGATGCTCTTTCAAATAAGATGAGCACGATCCACTTGTGGCATTCGAGGCCGACAAGGCACTATTGGATGCAGGACAACGCCAAACACACAGGACGGTCATGCATGCACACGCCGCGCGCCTACTCGCTTCCAACGCACCTTGACAAGCTCCGTGGGGCAGAGCACGAAGCTGATAAGCCCGCCCGCCAGCCCTGCTGCTGCCGCCACCGTGCCTGCTGTGGGTGCCGACCGCTCCCCGTTCTGAGACAAGGGCGAGGGGCGAGAGAGGAAACAAGGGGGGAGAGAGAGGAGGACAGACAAGGAAGGAGGAGAGGAGGACGGGAAGGGGGTGGGGGAGGAGGGAGGGAAGTGAGGGGAGGGGGAGGAGGAGAGGGGAGGGGAGAGGAGCGGCTGAGAGACATGGGCAACAGGCGACAGCATTGGTGCCTGCGCCTCAGCGTTGGTACCTGGGCCTCAGTATTGGTATGCTGCCCTTAACACTGATACAGGGGGCAGTTGCCTGGGACAAAACTACTTGTCTGGGGGTAGTTACCTGGAGGGCGGTCTTTATTTGAGTGTACGAGCCAAACAGCAGGGAGCTCTCCACTGCGACGCCGATGAAGGATGACGTGGCACCGCGGTATAGGCCGGGGATCTGAGGGAAAAAGGCGGGGAACAGCACACGCGCGAATTTACTAAGGGTTGCGCGATGGTGTGCGCGGAGGTGTGCGCGGTGGGGTGCGCGGCGGGGCTGTGCACCGTGCATGGGGCTTATAACGGAATGAAGGCCCTAAAACGAAGGGGACATGCGGCTCACCCCTTCAGTGCGGAGAATGTGCGACGTGCACTGCCATGCCGAGCGATACCGCGGAGCCCCTAGCGACGCTTGCGACGCGGACGACGCGCCGTTACTGACGTTGCTGGCTTGCAGCTTGACCTGCGGGGATGGTTGGATGGGACGGGATGAGATAGACGAATGGTTGGAAAGAGGGGCTGAGCCCGTCGTGCGACGGTACCATCGACATTGTCGGTTTCACGCCGCCGTTCAATCACAATCGTCCTATCCCCGTCTGCCATTCGCTCTAGCGCCTCACGACAATCCAAGCCGTAAACTCTCACAGCCGTCCGATCCTGACCTTGACGGTATCAAACGGATGTCCCGTGACGACGAGAGCCACCCCTGCAGCGACCCCAGCCGTGAAATCCTTCACTGCGGCGAAATCGTTTGGCGAAGGTGGCGAGGCGAACTGGTTACTCGGTTGCGATCCGAAATCGTTCGCACTTGGAACGGTGACGTCCTTCACACTCTTGCCGGCTTCCTGCCGCATTTTCCGGTGCGATTTCAGCCGCTGATACCCAAGATCACAGCCAGGTGCGATTGATTCACGGAAATGCCGGCAGAGTTGAAGAGCTTACTGCCCGCTGAAAGCAAATGCACGCTGCGCAGGGAATAAGGCTACAAACGGCTGACTGGACGAGCAGAAAAAAGTAGGAACTAAGCGACCGAGCAGAGACGAAGTGTAGTTACGGCAGGTCAGACGAGCAGGAACGCACGCGCAAAAGACTTATTAGCTCGAGCTTTGCTATTTGCGAAGGGCAGCAATATGTATTGACGAGGAGACTAGCCGATCCCAGCTAGTCGAGGCACGCGTATAAATACTGCGTGTTCTCCTCCTCCAACACCAGCTGCGAGCGGCTGTGCTGTAGGTCCCGTATACTATGCCGTATTCCTCGGACTGGCGGGGAAGGATCAAATGCAGGAGGCTTTGAGCTGCGCGCTTGCGTGGAAAGCGGAAGCAAGGCGATTCCGCGCACAAATCAAGGGTGTCGGGCTTTCGCGTCCTGCTTCTCCCGTAAATTTGGGAGTGGTGCATGCACTCGCGCATTCCGAGTCCAAAATAAACCGCTTTGTGCCGTAACCAGTTGTCTTAAAAGCTGTAACTACTTAGAGAGAACGCACTCAACCTTTCTGACCTAAAAAACTTCATGTGCTCCGCCGAAGCAAGACGTTGCCCTCTCACTTGAGAGGACGAGATCGTCGCGCGCGGGGGCCGAAGAGTATATCTCAGCGGACAAGCGAGTCCGCCCGGGGGAGCTCGCTGCCCGCGGGCAAAAAAAATAAACCCCAGAAGGGCATGCATCCGGTCAGGGAGGCATCAACCCTGAACACGGGGAGGCATGGATTTAGGGTTGATGCCTCCCTAGGATGGCATGCCATCCGATAGGGTTTTAGTTTTTTTCTGCCCGGGGCAGCATGTCGTCAAGTCGTCAACAGGTCGTCAGGCTTGACGACCCGTTTTGGCTGAGATTTTCCGAACCGAACAAACACTGTGCCTCGGTCACCCCGATCTCCGCTATAGAGAAAGCCACTGGGCGAACGACAGCGTGGTAAAGGGTCAGTTGCAATATTCTGCATATGGATAATTACACCATGAAGGGTCTGAACACTCGATCCTTTTCCTGCTTATTCTTTTACCGCGGATGCTTGAGAAATATCAGCAAGATGGTTGTGACCGAGCGAACAGAGTCAAACTGGTTCAGCTAGGACCACACAACAGCCCGGGCTAGCAGGACTTCCCCAATGCTGGACAATACGGTATTCTAGCCCCAAGACTAGTTAGTGGCGAATCGTGATCGTTGATCGCAATGGCTTGCCGTCGTTAGGACTGTTCGCGTTGTGATTACCTGCCCGTACTTTCCAACGTATCCGCATTCGTTGCGTTCTTTGCCAACCCGAATGCTGGATTGTCTCCAAGTCGTTGCGCTTTCGCGTCGTCCACGAGCTTCATCAACTGCCGAAATCGAACGCGATTTTCCGTTGCAATAAAATTCTCCATCGCCAAAATACTCCGCAGCCACTGTTGATAACGCAACCATAGCAGCCATCGCATAGCCATCACGTAGTCATCGCATAGCCATCGCAAGCGATCGCAGCCGTCGCATAGGCATCGCCGCCATCGCATTGCAGCCATGAAAGCGGGCTCCGCCAGCAGCCGCGGGGCGGGGCGATTGTGGACGGCAGCGGGGTCGTCGCCGCAAGGATCCATGCGAGGGATCGGAGACTCGTCGCTCACGTCGCGTTCGCGAAAGAGCAAGAAGAGTCGCTCGCTCGTGAGGCGGCTGCTGAAATGTCGCTTCCAGACCTTCATCCTCTGCGTCGTTCTGGTCCGTCCGATCGCTGCCTTTTCAATTTCTCGCCGTCATATCTCTCTTTTGTTCTCCAGCTTTTTTCCATGCGTTGTCGCTTCCCCCCATCCCCTTTGAACCTGTGCACTATCCACATTCTCTTGGCTTCCTACACCCCTCCACCCGCTCCTCCAAACACACACACACCCCTCTCTTTTCTCCCACAACCCCCCCTCTTCCCCCCTTCGCCCTTCCCTTTACCCACACAGCCTCTCCTCACCCCCCCTCGCCACCTTCTCCCTTCCCACGCCCTCCTCCCTCCACCCTTCCCCATCTATGCTCCCATCCCTCCCTCTTTCCATCCGTCGCCATCCTTCCCTCCCTCCCTCCCTCCCTCCCTCCCTCCCTCCCTCCCTCCCTCCCTCCCTCCCTCCCTCCCTCCATCCCTCCCTCCCTCCCTCCCTCCCTCCCTCCCTCCCTCCCTCCCTCCCTCCCTCCCTCCCTCCCTCCCTCCCTCAATCCCTCCCTCTCTCCCTCCCCCCCTCCCCCCCTCCCTCTCTCCCCCCCTCCCTCCCTCCCCCCCTCCCTCCCTCCCCCCCTCCCTCCCTCCCTCCCTCCCTCAATCCCTCCCTCCCTCCCTCCCTCAATCCCTCCCTCCCTCCCTCCCCCCCTCCCCCCTTCCCTCCCTCCCTCCCTCCCTCCCTCCCTCCCTCCCTCCCTCCCTCCGTCCCTCCCTCCCTCCCTCCCTCCCTCCCTCCCTCCCTCCCTCCCTCCCTCCCTCCCTCCCTCCCTCCGCCCCTCCCTCCGCCCCTCCCTCCGCCCCTCCCTCCGCCCCTCCCTCCGCCCCTCCCTCCATCCTTCCCCCTCCATGCGCTCTCAACCTTCCTGCGTTCCTCCATCCCTCCCTCTCTTCCTCCCCTCCCCCACCATTCCTTCGTGCGCCCCCATCCCTCCTTCCCTCGACCCATACGTCCGCCCACCTCCCTTCCCGCCCTCCCTTCTCGCGTGCAGGTGGTGCTGTGCGGTGCGCTCGTCTTCCTCTTTGTGGTCGACAAGTTCCCCTTCTTACTTGACTCACAAGTCCATTTCTCCGCCCGCCCTCATCCCCCTATTCCTCCAACCATCTATCCCCCCATCCGTCCCCCTATTCCTTCCGTCCGCTTATGCAGGTGGTGCTGTGCAGTGCGCTCGTCTTTCTCTTCGTGGTCGACAAGTTCCCATTCTCAATGGGGGCGAAAGAGGCCGCGGCCGCTGCTGCAGACGACCTTGTAAGTCGCTCTGCGCTGCTCTGCAGCTTTTCTCTGCGCTGCTTGCTCTCTTGATTGTACAGCCTGTGCACTTCTTGTTGCCATGGTTATCCAGTGCCCCTTCTTCATGGGGGCCAAACACGCCGTACGTGCTCCTCCGCTGCTGCTGCTGCTGCTGCCGCTGCTGCTGCTCATGCTGTGGTTGCAAGCGACATTGTAAGCCACTCCAGTCCATTCGCATGTACTCTCAACCCCCCTGTTTTCCCCCCCCACACCGTTCCCCTCGCCAGTCCACGTCAGCAGCGGAGACGAAGCCATCCCACGTGGCAATGGATCTGAGCGCGCACGGCAAGCAGCAAGAGACGGTCAGGATGATCACTGGGGAAGGGGACGGCATAGCGGCGGACGGCAAGGGCTCCAAGGGCGGCAAGAGTGGCAAGGGCGGTGGCAAAGGTGGTGGCAAGGATAGTAAAGGCGGCAAGGGGAAAGTAGATCCCAAGCAGGCAGCTCAGGGGAAAGACGCTAAAGATGGAAAAGATGCTAAAGGGGGCAAGGGTGGGAAAGAGGGGAAGGAGACAGGGAAGCCTGGTCCTGGCGGTGGTAAGACGAGTCACCCTACCACAGGTGCTAAGACAGCGACCCCGAAGCAGCAGCAGAAGGCGGGGGATGCTGCTAAGGGGAAGGGGCATCCTGCAGGGAAGCAGCAGGGCAAGTCCCCGGGGGGAAAGGCACCTCATGGGAAATCGCCTGGAGGGAAAGCGCCAGGAGGAAAGGGCGCTGGTGGGAAAGCTGGGGGGGTGGCATCCGGGAAGCAAGCAGGGAAGGCGCAAGCAGGGAAGGTGCAAGCAGGTGCAGCTAAGAATGTTGCGGCTCATGCAGGAGGAAAGGGAGCAGCAGTGGTGCCAAAGGGAAAGGTGCATCCAGCTCCTAGGCAAGTGAAGGGTGGAGGGGCCAAGGGTAAAGGTGGGGTTGCTGCAGGGAAGCAGGGTGGGAAGGGGAAAGGAGCAGTGCCGGCTGGTGGGAAGTTAAGAGGGGTTGCGGCTGATCCCAAGAAGGGAGGGAAAGTTCAGAAGAGTTAGGATGAGAAGCTAGCGATGTCCACAGCGCATGGGCAGGTTTGGATGTTGTTTTCTTGTAAGTGTTGCTGCTGCCATAAGATTCGTGTGTGTTTAATGAAGGTTCTACCTTGTATGAATATGGTCTTCCGATCTGCTAAACTTTGTTGATTCGAATCTACACGTCAGTGTACGCGTTACTGGATCGTTTCGCCTTTTGAACCTCACACAACACCAGGGTGGCTGTTCCAGTTCCTCCTCTCACCTGCAGTCCATTCCCCCGCATTCGCAAGTCGGATTTCCCTACTATTCGAGAGCTCGTCGCCATGGCGAAGGGCAAGGGCGGGGCGATCCTGGTGAAGCTGCTGTCGGCGGCGGGGACGGGCTTTTTTTACGTCACCAAGAAGAACCCGCGCAATCTGCCGCACAAGCTCGAGTTCAGAAAGTACGACCCGCGCGTTCAGAAGCACGTGCTCTTCACCGAGACTAAGCTTCGTTAGTAGATTAATCGCGTCGCGGTCTCGGGTTCGTTTGGGTCTGTGATTGTGACGAGGCCGGGGGTTCTGTTTATGCCGTGCAGAGTTGGTATAGAATGACTTGACTGACTCTTCAAAAAGCAGCGGTTTGCCGTGCAATGAAGCATTATCAATCCACCCATATTTTGTGAATTGGACTGCTCAATTGGTCCGTAGGCTTGTAGTTATAGCGTGAATTGATTCGTTCGAGACTGAATCGTTACGAGGCCCACTAACTCACTGGAATCGCGTACTTACCAGACGTGCCTGACGACGACGTAGACGCGACAGCCGTGAGTCGTTGCGAGCCGCTCGTCGTGAATCGCCGCGAGTCGCGCACCCTGAATCGCGCGCCGTAAGTCGCGCCGCGAGCGATGGATTTCCAGGAGCTGGAGGCGGCGGAGGGGCTGCGCTTCTCGTGGAACGTGTGGCCGTCGTCGCGCCTCGAGGCGACGCGCTGCGTCGTGCCCTTCGGCGCGGTCTTCACGCCGCTCGCGGAAATCCCGGATCTGCAGGTCGTTCCGCATCCGCCGCTGCTCTGCAAGGCGTGCGGCGCCGCGCTCAACCCGTACTGCGCGCTGCACTGCGGCACGCGCTCGTGGGCGTGCGCGCTGTGTCAGCAGGTGTGGGAGGGGGGGTGGGAAGGGGGGAAGTTGGCGGATGGTGTAATGCGCCAAGTAGGCACTGTTCCAGCAGGCACTGAAGGTGGTGGTGGGGGCGGGAAGTAGGAGGGGGGAAAGGTAAAATGAGTGGGGAAATCAGGGGAAAATTGGTGGGATGGTCTGGGTTGATTGGATGATCTTAGGAGAAAAAACTCAAGGACGCCTCTCTCCTCCTGATTTCCTTCCCCCCCTTCCACCCCTCCTCATTTCCCACTCAATTTCTTCCTCCCATTCTCCTATTCCATGCTCTCCCCCCCTCTCAACTCCCCTCTCCTCTCCTCCTCTCTCCTCCTCTCCCTTCCGCTCCTCTCCCCACCCTTCCCTCCCTCCGCTCACACAGGAACGTGTTTCCGCCCAACTACAGGGACGTGAGCGAGACCAATCTGCCCATGGAGCTCCTGCCCCTTCCCCAACACTCGTCCCCCCTCCCGTCTTCCCTCTGCTCTCCTGCTTTCTCCCTCCTGTCACACAGAGGAACGTGTTCCCACCCAACTACAGGGACGTGAGCGAGATCAATCTGCCCATGGAGCTCTCCCCCAGCCTCAGCACCATCGAGTTCCTCCTGTCGCACGCCGCCGCACCGTGCGTACTCCCTCTCTTCTCCACTCTCCTCTCCTCTCCTCTCCTTCCTCTCCCCTCCTCCCTCGCCTCTCCTTTCCTCATCTCCTCTCTCCTCTTGTCTTCTTCTCTTCTCTTCTCATCTCATCTCTTCTCTTCTCTTCTCTTCTCTTCTCTTCTCTTCTCTTCTCATCTCATCTCTTCTCTTTCCATGGCAATACGACCTCCCTGGAGCTGATGTTGAGTTCGAGCCATGTGCCGTCCCCCAATCCCCCTTTTCCTCTTCAGCCACCCCGCATTTCTGTTTGTGCTGGACACGTGTGTCCCCCCTGACGAGCTGCACCACGCCAAAGCCACTCTGCTGCAAGCTGCTCTTTTGTCACCTCATGCGCCATGCCATCTCTCTACTCCCCCTCCTTTCAACAGGCAGCCCGCATTTCTCTTTGTGTTGGACACGTGTGTACCACCTGACGAGCTACACCACGCCAAAGCCGCCCTGCTGCAGCTGCTGCCACTGTTACCAGTCACCTGCCCCGTGGGGCTCATCACAGTGGGCGCACAGGTCTCCGTGCACGAACTCTCCCACTCCCTCCCTCACTCACTCCCTCACTCGCTCCCTCACTCGCGCCCTCGCTCTCAAGCCGGCCCGCTGTCGTCGCGTGTGGTGCTGCTACCGGGGGACAAGGACCTTTCACCCAGCAAGATAAAGCACCTCCTGGGTCTGGGGCTGGGGCTGCCTCATCCTCACCCACCCTCTGCACCATCCAAGACCGCACCCAGCAGCAGCCACGCCCCTGCAATGCACACCACCACCCCTGCCAAAAGGCCTTTTACTGGCAAGCCGTCCTCTCCCAAGGGCCCTCTGTCCCCTAGATCATCTTCCTCCTCCCATTCCTCGTCTACCCACGTGTCACCACCATCATTGTCCACGTCTGCAGAGGCTGTGTCCTCGTCACCGCCCCCTCCGTCGCTGGTGCTGGGCGGCAGAGGGGCGGCGGATGGGCGGTACCTGGTGCCTCTGGTGGAGGGGGAGGGCGTGCTGAGGGGCGTGATAGCGGCGCTACAGCCGGACTCACAGCCAGTGGTGCCAGGGGTCAGGTGAGATGCAGTGGCTTCCAGGTGGACTTAGTGCGGTTCAGATGGGTGGAATCTGGTGCCTCTGGTGGAGGGGGAGGGCGTGCTGAGGGGTGTGATAGCGGCGCTACAGCCAGACTCACAGCCAGTGGTGCCAGAGGTGAGGTGAGATTCAATGGCTTTTCAGTGCGGTTCGGATGGGCGGTACCTGGTGCCTCTGGTGGAGGGCGAAGGCGTGCTGAGGGGCGTGATAGCGGCGCTACAGCCGGACTCACAGCCAGTGGTGCCAGGGGTCAGGTGAGATGCAGTGGCTTTCAGGTGGACTTAGTGTGGTTCAGATGGGTGGAATCTGGTGCCTCTGGTGGAGGGGGAGGGCGTGCTGAGGGGTGTGATAGCGGCGCTACAGCCGGACTCACAGCCGGTGGTGCCAGGAGTCAGGTGCGGTACAATGGCTTTCAGGTGAGCTTTGGTGCGATTCCGATAGGTGGTAGTCGATGCCTGAGTGGGAGTTGTGGGGAACATGAGGGGTGCTATGTCATGTCATGTCATGCATTCTCTCTCAAGTGCGTGTACATCTGGATACCAACCACTGATACCTGTTGTGAAGTGCGTGTAGGGTCTACTTACAGTTGTTGGTCACTGGATTGCACTGCATATGGGTTGCTTGCACCACCAGCTGGCCCTCCGAGGATAAGCTGTGTGTCTTCCCCCACACCTATATCTCCTGGCTTTCCTCCCCTGTGTCCCCTTGCAGGCCGCGCCGAGCCATAGGCGCAGCTTTGGCAGCCGCTGTGGCTGTGATGGAGGCTCGGGGCGAGCAAGGGGGGGCAGAGGAAGGAGGGAGAACGGAGGATGGGACAGGGCGGGCAGCATGGGAGAAGAGGGGAGCAGCAGAGGAGTTGGGAGTGGGGGCAGCAGAGTCAGGAAAGGGGACGAGGAGGGAAGGGGAGGGGACAGGGAGGGGTGGGGAGGGAGCGAGGAAGGGAGGGGAGAGGGCGGGAGGGGGAGGGGAGAGGGCATTGCGATCCGGAGGGCGAGTGGTGGTGCTGCTGGGAGGGCCGGGCACAGTGGGGCCAGGCATGGTGGTGGGTACAGACATGGCAGACTGCCTCCGCACACACTCGGATATTCTCCTCGACAACACCGCTTACTATCAGTCAGTATTCCTCTGCTCTGGGGCTGACACATTGGGGCTGGGCACGGTGGGCTTGGGCTCTGTGTATGGTGGGGCCAGGCATGGTGGTGGGTACAGACATGGCAGACTGCCTCCGCACACACTCGGATATTCTCCTCGACAACACCGCTTACTATCAGTCAGTTCCACTCTGCTCTGGGGCCGACGCATTGGGGCTGGGCACGGTGGGTTTGGGCTCGGAGTATGGTGGGGCCGGGTATGGTGGTGGGTAGAATACAGACATGGCAGACTGCCTTCGAACGCACTCGAATATCCTCCTCGACAACACCGCTTACTACCAGTCAGTTCCACGTTGCCGACCCTCCCGCATGCTTTTGTTTCGTGCTGGATGGACGTGTTCGGTGTCGCTCCCCTTCATGTGTCTTTCCCCTCCTCCCTCCCTCCTCCCAACAGCCGTGCCACACGCTTCTTCTCTCAATTCGTCGAGCGATCAGCAGAGGTATCAGCAGCCATAGACGTGTTTTCATGTGCGGTGTTGTAACTGTTGCTGCACGTGCCGTTTCCTCCTTTTCTCCCTCTTCCCAACAGCCGCGCAACGCGGTTCTACACCCAGTTGGGTGAGCGAGCAGCAGAGGTATCAGCGGCCATAGACGTGTTTGCATGTGCGGCGGACCAAGTGGGGGTGGCGGAGATGAGGGGCGCCATCGAGGCGACAAGTGGCACGCTCGTATTGGCCGACTCGTTTGAGTCAGACATCTTTGCCAAGTCCCTGTGCAAGCTGTTTCAACGGTCGCATGAGGTCAGTATGGATCGTGGCCCATGCCGTGCCATGCCAAGCCATGCCATGCTATGCCACGCCATTGCATACCATATCATGCCATACCATCCTATACCCCTTCCATCCCCGTTACAGGGCCCTCTGCTAGCCGCCACAGACGGGGTAGTGGAGGTGAAGCTGCCCAAGGAGATCAAGGTGATGGGGGCGGTGGGGGCGTGTGGCAACCTGTGGAGCAAGGCGGAGAGCGTGAGCGAGCACGAGGTGGGGCAGGGCGGCACGGCTGCCTGGCGCCTCTGTTCCCTCTCCCCCCGCTCCTCCTCCCTCGCCCTCTTCTTTGAGATTGCACCGCCGCACAGAGCGCACCAGATCCCGCCGGGCTCCTTTGCACTGTTCCAGGTTTGTGTTTGCCCGTGTTCCACGTGTGTTGCATGGGGAAGGTGTTCTCTTCACTGCCTGGCGTCTCTGCTCCCTCTCCCCCCACTCCTCCTCCCTCGCCCTCTTTTTCGAGATTGCACCGGCCAGAGCACACCAGATTCCGCCAGGGTCGTTCGCGTTGTTCCAGGTGTGTTGGCCTGGGAGGGTTGGCATGTCTTTCTTTCCCTCTGCTCCCTCTCCCCCCGCTCTCCTCCTCCCTCGCCCTCTTCGTTGAGATAGCATCGCAGAGAGCGCATCAGATCCCGCCGGGCTCGTTCGCGTTATTCCAGGTCTGTTGGCCAGGGAGGGTTGTTTCTTGGGGGGGAGGTGGCTTGTCTCCCTCGCCCACTGATTGCAATCCGTTGTGTGCTGTCATGCGTGTGCTGTCATGCGTGTGCTGTCATGCGTGTGCTGTCATGCGTGTGCTGTCATGCGTGTGCTGTCATGCGTGTGCTGTCATGCGTGTGCTGTCATGCGTGTGCTGTCCCAGGCACGTGAGGTGTTCGGCTGTCTTCCCACCATCCGCCCTCCACTTTCCTATTGCGCTCCCAACCTCCCCCCTTTCCCTCTCAGTTCCTCACCACGTATCGCCACGGGGATGGCAGCAGGAGGGTGCGCGTGGCCACAGCAGCCAGGCGCTGGGTGCACATGGGGGGGGAGGGGGGCGCTGGCGCGGATTCACAGGCTGTTGGGGTGGGGGTGGCGGAAGGGGATGGGGACTTGGTGGTGGGAGGGGTGCCGGGGGGGAGGGTAGCTGCAGCACTGGCGGAAGTGGTGATGGGGTTCGATCAGGAGGCTGCTGCTGCACTCGTGGCCAAGCTAGCTGCCTTCAAGGTGCGTGCGCCTCTGCATTCAATGTGGGCGTTGCTCACACCATATATACTGGGAAGGGAAACGAGGTACTCTCGGACTGTTGTTGTCAGCTCCGATGTGCTTTCCTGTGTTGCATTGCCCTGTCGTGATGCATCTCCCCCTCGCCCCCCATCTCCACCTCAACCCCCACCAGGCAGAGTCAGAGGACATGAGTGATGTGCTGCGCTGGCTGGACCGCATGCTAATCCGTTTTGGAGCCAAGTTCGGGCAGTACAGCCGGGGCGACCCCTCCTCCTTCCACCTCGCCTCCGCCTTCTCCCTCTTCCCCCAGTTCATGTTCCACCTCCGCCGCTCCAGCTTCCTCCAGGTGTGCCTTCCCCCAGCTGTGCCTTTCTCCAGGTGTGCCTTTCTCCAGCTGTGCCTCCCTCCAGGTGTGCCTTCCCCCAGGTGTGCCTTCCCCCAGGTGTGCCTTCCTCCAGGTGTGCCTTCTTCCAGGTGTGCCTTCTTCCAGGTGTGCCTTCTTCCAGGTGTGCCTTCTTCCAGGTATACTTTCATCCAGTGTTACCACGTGTGAAGATGAGTGCAGGCAGTGTGAGGTTGCCGGGTGCTGGGATGTAGCGTGAAGTGATGTGGTTGTAGCTGTGGCAGCCTGGCCGGCACGTTGCTCTTGTCTGACTCTAGGCTCCCCATTATCTGCATGCCATGGCTGCTGTGGTGTTGTGTGTCTATGTGTGCATGTGTGCATGTGTGCATGTGTGCATGGCAGCAGGTGTTCAACCACAGCCCCGATGAGACGGCATTCTTCCGCCTCATGCTCACCAGAGAAGCCGTTGCCAACTCCCTCCTAATGGTTCAGGTACCCTACCGCTCATACCCTTCCTTTCCGCCCGTTCACTTCTCGCGAGCCAGGGCCACTGTTTCTCCTACCATTCAACTCCTCCTTGACCTGTCCTTGCCTTCGCTTCCCGTCCTTCTCCTGCAGCCCGCTCTGATCGCCTACACCTTTGAGTCACCACCACATGCTGTGCTGCTGGACGTGTCATCACTGCAGCCCGACTGTGTGCTGCTGTACGACGGCTTCTTCCACATTGTCGTGTTGCACGGCTCCACCATCGTGCACTGGAAGCACCAGGGTTTCCACCTCGACCCTGCACACGCAGCCTTCAGGTATTCTTCCACCTCTTGACTGAATTACGCTGTGCTGCTGCGTGATGGATTCTTCCACATTGTTGTGCTCCACGGCTCCACCATCGTGCACTGGATGCACCAGGGCTTCCACCTCGACCCCGCACACGCAGCCTTCAGGTGCGCTTCCACCCTTCCACCTCGGACTGGACTCCAGCTGTATGGTCATGCTGCTGTTCTCAGTCTGGATGCAGTTACTGAATCGTCCATTTCATTGCACAAGGGAGGCCTGTGTCATGGCAGCTCTGGTCTGGTGTGCTTGTGTCCATCCCGCAACCTTGCAGGAAACTTCTGGAGTTGCCGATGGAAGATGCGTTAGCTTTGGCCAGCGAGAGAATGCCCGAGCCCAGAATCATGGAGTGTGAGCAAGGGAGTAGTCAGTCAAGATTTCTGACATCTCGGCTCAACCCATCGGCCACGCATGCAAGCTCATCCATCCCGTCATCACCATCATTTGTAGAGGAGGCTAAGAATTCGCAGCAGTACATTTTCACAGATGATGTTAGCCTAGAGACCTTTTCACAACACTTGCAGCGCCTTGCTGTTCAATAAAGCATGTATAGCAGGTGATAAAAAAGCTCTCTGATCTGTAGCACAAAGCTCAGTCAGATACCGACATGTAGAAAATGAATGAATATAAACAGGCTATGCTAGTAGTCTTTTGTGAAGTGAGCATCCACGACCATCATCAGGACATGCAAAGAAACTTCAAGAACTTGGGCCTCTTTTTCGCTGAAGCCAGCTCTGACACCTTCTTCTCGAGTTCGTTAATTTTCTCATTAGCGACCACCAATGCTTTAGGATCTGTTTCAGACACCTGCACATGGGAAAACAAAGTTGTTGTTGAGTGAAAAATGTCAGCGAAGCAAAGACTCCAAGAAATGAGTTCGACACTTACCTTCAGTGCAGAATCTGGAAGAGACAGGTCCTTCACCATGCCTCTTAGCTTGGTCATCTCCATATCCTGCCACGTGGCCGTCTCCCTCACTCGCGCCAGCTCCATGTCCTTCTCCTCCAGCTGAGCCCTCAGCTCCGAGTTCTCCTTCCTCGTAGCCTCCAAAGCGGTTTCCAGCTGAAGTTGCCTCGGTGCGCTCAGCTCTGATTTAAGATTTGAGTCAGGAATGTTGTCAATGACGCCAGAGTCGAGTCCAGCAGTTCCGAGGGAGAACTGATCGGTTTCAGGGGTTGAAACGGCGGTGACTTCTTTCTCGACGGAGGAGCCATCGGTACTGCACTTGCCGATATTTCCAAGAGCATGGCGGCTTTCCGAAGATTCATTGGAGGAATCATGCTCGTCGAGCTGTTCATTCTCCTGACCCTTTGCTTGCGATGAATCTGCATCAGAAGCGGTTTGATCCTCGGACGGCCTCACTACCGAAGCCGAGGTGTCTTGTTGACTGCTAACGGATATGGACTCCTCAATATCTTTCTTCTCTCGCTGAAGCTTCTCAACCTTCATCTGATACTTCTCCAACTCATTCTGACACAACGCAAGCCGCTCTGCTTGCTTCCCTAACCGCTTCTGATAGCTGTCGTCGATACCGGCGAGGTCCTTCTGAAGAGCCAAGCACGTGCTCTCTGATTTCGCAAGAGCAGCTCGAACCTTCTCTAGCTCTGCCTTGAGCGACTTATTCTCCTTAGCTAAATCCATCTGTGCACCTACACCATGCGATGGCACACTAAGACAAAAATATCGGACTTCACGTGATCTTAGTTGACTGATAAAACGTCTGATAAGCCACTCGCTTGCTGCGATGATGCCCCTGAAATCTGTTGTCCCTGAAACACACAGCGTTTGGTTGTGACAACCTCAATGCCATGGCTTCACCTGCCATGCCATATTGAAGCCTATGTGATGGGATGGAAGGTGCACATCCTGACACTCTCGGGTTCATCGAGGTGATTCGTTGTCGAATACACTTCACGAATCACGAGCCTTGGGGGGAATGAGCCCAATGACAGCTGCGGGTGTGTGATCTCGGTTCCCGCCAAATATTCAACTTGCCATGTTCGTTTCCTCGAGTCTGGGCTGAATCACAAACTCGCGACGCGACGCGATATGATCGTGTGGCTGAACTAAAAAATCCGTGAACCAAGTTCCAGCTCAGGTCCATACCGGTATTAGCATCAGAATAATTATTTGATCCAGTTCACTCTATCAAATGTTTCACATTTATCAAAGGTCAACTAATAATTGAACTGATACTAATTGAACATCAACTAGTGATCTACTTTAATTCCCATGTACTGAAATGAATCCATGGGGGGTTCCTCTTGGCCGCTAGGAGCAGAGCTCCTAACGTTACACCCAAGCACCGCGGTGAGGTGGGAACCATCGCTTGGGACCCTGTGGGGGGGGGAGACAGAACACAGACAGAAGGATACTGCCCAGGGGCAGGTGAAAATTATCCTTGAATCCATTGCCGCCCATCCTTACTGGCCCTCCCTGCTGCTCTGGTCTTCTGCCCAGTCTTGCTTCAGGACCAGCTGTGCAATTTTGGTCACTGGCAATTTTTGCAGCGAGGAACAAACAAAAGAGTTTTGAGATGAGTCGTCTCTGAAAACCCTGTTTTTGGTCACTGCAGCGACTCTGCAGTGAGGAGAAGAGAGAAAGAGAGAGTTTCACGTTGAAACTCACGAGTGAGTTTTGAGGTGTGTCTCAAAACTCAGAGAAGAGGAGAGAGGAGGAATGGAACACTGCAGTGCACTGCAGGACACAACAGAACTGCCACCGGCAGCTCACAACTGGATTTGAGGCGCCTCAAACCAGCAAACGAGGTCCTCACACCCCACTCTCACTCTCACCCTAACTCTTAACTCTCACTCGCTCCTCTCCTCACCCTAACGCTGCAGCCTGCTGCAGTTCTCAACACTCCGCTCGTTTCTCACTCTGCTCCCTCCTCACTCTGCTCCCTCCTCACTCTGCTGTCCCTCCTTCACTCTGCTCCTGCCTTCAATCAGCTTCGCTGGCCCCCCTCTCAACAATCTGCCCCCCCTGTATGAGCCATCTCCCCTTCCGTCCCATCACTTCACTTCACAGCACCAACGGCAGCGACTGAGGTAGGAGCGACTGAGGTAGGAGCGACTGAGGTAGGAGCCACTGAGGTAGGAGCGACTGAGGTAGGTGCGACTGAGGTAGGAGCGACTGTGGTGGAGCGACTGAGGCAGAACCTGCGGTCCTATCACCACTAGTGCCACTGCAGGCCTTTCTTCTGCTCCTGCTGCTGCTGCCACCGCTAGTGTCACCACTGGCTTTCTCTGCTCCCACCTTCACTCTGCTTCCCCCCTCCCACTCAGCTTTCCCAAACTCAGCTTCGCTCGACCCCTCCTCTCAACAATCTGCTCCCCCCCCTGTATGAGCCATCTCCCCTTCGGTCCCATCATTTCACTTCACAGCACCAACGGCAGCGACTGAGGTAGGAGCGACTGAGGTAGGAGCGACTGAGGTAGGAGCGACTGAGCCAGCAGTGACAGCAGCGGTGGTAGCAGCTGCGGTCCCATCACCGCTGGTGCCACTGCGGGCCTCTCTTCTTCTCCCGCTGCTGCTGCCACCGCTGCTGTCACTGCTGGCTTTCTCTTCTGCTGCTGCTTCTCCTTTTGTTGCTGCACATCTCCTTTGCTCCTCCACTCCTCGTCACCTGTCCTCCTATCACTCCACAGCACCAGAAGCAGCAGACTGGAGGGAGGTAGGAGCGAGTGAGGTAGCACCTCTTGCTGCTGCTGTCTTCTGGTGTTGCTGATAGTCCCTTTGCTGATGGTCCCAGCTGCTGCCACTGCTGCTGAATGCCGCTGTTGCTGCCACTGCCACTACTGCTCCGCAGCAGCACCACTCCACCTCCAACGCAGCACCACCACTCCACCTCCAAGGCAGCAGCACCACTCCACCTCCAAGGCAGCAGCACCACTCCACCTCCAAGGCAGCAGCACCACTCCACCTCTAACGTAGCAGCACCACTCCACCTCCAACGCAGCAGCACCACTCCACCTCCAACGCAGCATCACCACTCTTCTCCTAATGTTGCTGCTGCGCATCCCCTTTGCTCCTCCACTCCTCTTCACCTGTGCTCCTATGAGCACCAGAAGCAGATAGCAGCTGCCGTCCCCATGAGTGGGGAGAGAGGTAGGAGCTGCTGCTACCTCCTTCTGCTCCCCCGTTCACTCTGCTCCCCCCTTCACTCTGCAGCGCTCAGCGAGGTAGCAGCTGCCGTCTCCATGAGTAGGGAAAGAGGTAGGAGCGCTGATAGGCCTTTTCCGCCTCCGATCCATCTCCTTTGCGCCTCTGCTCATCTGCTTTGCGCCTCTACTCCGTCTGCTTCTCCTTTGCTCCTTTGTCTCCTCTGCTGCTCCTCCTCTGCTGCTCCTTCTCCTCGCTTCTCTGCCTCGACCGACCTTCTGTGATGGGAGGGGAATGGCACAAGGCCAATGAGAGAATGGCACCGATTGCACCCCATGCCTAGAACCAACTAAAAGCAGTTGCGAAATGATTCAGGCAACAAACAAAAAAAGCAGCTAAAGTAAGAAAGAGGATCACCAGTGGCAGTGAAGATTTATCGACGATCGTGCTCCTTCGCTCCTTCACTCCTTCGCTCCACCTCCGCTGCTGCTCCACCTCTCCTCAGCTGAGCCGTCGCTCCTCTGCTCCTCATCTCCTCCTCAGCTGAGCCAACTCGTCCATCTCCTGCGGGATGGGAGGAGAAGCCTCAGGGCGCATGAGACCATTGAACCAACTGAACCCAGTGCCAAGGCTCAGGGAAACGCAAAGAGAACAAAGCAACCACCATGCATCTGAACAAACAGGAAGACTGAAAGCAGGGAAACAACTTAATCACCATCGGCAGCAGAGAGTCCCTCCACCACTGTGCTGTGCTCCATGACTCCTTTGCTCCACTCCTCTCCTCCTTCACTCCTTGCTCCACTCCCCTCCTCCTTCACTCCTTCGCCTCCTCTGCAGTGGCAGAGGATTCCCCTTCACTCCTTCGCCTCCTCTGCAGTGGCAGAGGATTCCCCTTCACTCCTTCGCCTCCTCTGCAGTGGCAGAGGATTCCCCTTCACTCCTTCGCCTCCTCTGCAGTGGCAGAGGATTCCCCTTCACTCCTTCGCCTCCTCTGGCAGTGGCAGAGGATTCCCCTTCACTCCTTCGCTCCTTCTCCTTCGCTCCACATCTCCTCTGCGACATCTCCTCTGAGACATCTCCTCTGCACCATCTCATTTCCTGCGGAATGGAAGGAGAAAAGCCATGAGCTCGCGTCACTGCTGCTCATTGCATCGATTACACCCCGTGCTAACAAGTGATTCACAATGATTGCAAATCGAATGCAGCAATGACCATCAACAGAGAGCAGCAAAGGAGGTACTCACTGGCAGGGGCAGGGGATTCTCTTTCGCTCCACAGCTACTCCCATCCCCTCAGCGCCATCTCCTCTGCTCCTCAGTGGCAGGGGCAGGGGATTCTCTTTTGCTCCTTTGCCTCCTCCTCTGCTGCTCCTCGCCTCCGCTTCTCCTCTGCTGCTCGCCCAATCTGCTCGCCCATCCGATGCATCTCCTGCGGAATGGGAAGGAAGAAGAAGCCTATTGCACAAAGCGATTTGCACCCAGCGATTGGCACCCAGTGATAGCCAAGAAGCGATTCAAAATCGATGCCAAGCAAACAAGGCATCGATCATCTATCCAAAAGAACAAGAAATTGAGAGCAGGAAATGGATACTCACTGGCAATAGCAGAGAATCCCCCTTGGCCTCCTCCCTTCGTTAATCCTCTGCTCCTCCTCTCCTCCTCCTCTCCTCCTCCTCTCCTCCTCCACTCCTCCTCCTCTCCTCCTCCTCTCCTCCTCCTATGGCCCTCCTCTCCTCCTCCTCTCCCCCTCCTCTGCCCCTCCTCTCCTCCTCCTCTCCTCCTATCCTCCTCCTCTCTTCCTCCGCTCCTCCCCTGCCCCGGCGCTCCTCTGCTCCCGTGCAACTCCTGCTCTGCTAAATCAGACAAACAAAGCAACATTAGTATGCGTCGAATACGGAAAGCAGAAAATGGAACAAGACTCACCGAGGGAGGCGCGAGCCGTCGTGCCTTGATCGCTGTCTGAAACACGCACACAAACAACATTAGTACGAGTGGGAAAACAGCAAGCAGAAATGGAACAAGGCTCACCGAGGGGGACGCGAGCCGTCGTGCCTTGATCCCTGTCTGAAACACGCACACAAACAACATTAGTACGAGTGGGAAAACAGCAAGCAGAAATGGAACAAGGCTCACCGAGGGGGGCGCGAGCCGTCGTGCCTTGATCCTTGTCTGAAACACGCACACAAACAACATTAGTATGAGTGGGAAAACAGCAAGCAGAAATGGAACAAGGCTCACCGAGGAGGGCGCGAGCCTTCATTGTCTTGCTGGCGGCTATAACAGAAAAACTCACAGAAACATCCAACATTAGGCATTAGACAAAACAAAAGAATGAAAAGCAGACTGCAGCTTACAGCGGGTCCCGTGTTGCTGCTGCGTTCCGCTATTGCCCCGCCCTTAGTGTTGCCTCCGCGCTGTTGCTGTACCTAGTAGAGAGGGAGGCACACAATTGATCCTTTGCCCCCCAGGGAGCAAAGCATGCGCCTCACTTGAAGCTGCTCCTTCCTCCAGTCTTGCTTCAGGACCAGCTGTGCAAGTTTTCTCACTGCAAAACGTGCAGTGAGGAACAAGCAAAAGAGTTTTGAGATGAGTCGGCTCTCAAAACCCTGTTTTTGCTCACTGCAGCGACTCTGCAGTGACGAGAAAGAGAGAGAGAGAGAGAGAGAGAGCATGAGTTTTAAGCGAAGTCTTGAAACTCACAAGAGAAGAGAGTGAGTTTTGAGATGTCTCTCAAAACTCAGAGAAGAGGAGAGAGGAGGAACGGAACACTGCAGTGCACTGCAGGACACAACAGAACTGCCACCGGCAGCTCACAACTGGATTTGAGGCGCCTCAAACCAGCAAACGAGGTCCTCACACCCCACTCTCACTCTCAATCTAGCTCTCACTCGCTCCTCCCCTCACCCTCACCACTGCAGCCTGCTGCAGTTCTCAACACTCCGCTCGCCTCACACTCTCGCTCTCCTCACATCCTGTCTATGCTCCTCCCTCCGCTGCTGCTGCTGCTACTGCTGCTCCCCGCTGCTGCTGTTGCCACCGCTGCTGCTGCTGCTGCCACCGCTGCTGCTGCTGCCTCCATTGGTGTCAATGCGGGCCTCTCTTCTCCTGCAACCGCTGCTGCCACCGCTGCTGTCATCGTTGCTTCTCTCTTCATGTGTCATTGCGGGCCTCTCTTCTGCTCCCACCGCTGCTGCCACCGCTGATGCCAGTCCACCTGTCTCCCTTCCCTGCTCCACCTGATGCCAGTCCAGTCGTCTCCTCCCTTCCCTGCTCTCTTCTGCTGCAACTGCTGCTGCCACCGCTGCTGTCACTGCTGGCCTCACTTCTGCTCCCACTGCTGCTGCCACCGCTGGTGTCACTGCTGGTTTTCCCTTCTGCTGCAACCAGAAGTGTCATCGCGGGCCTCTCTTCTCCTGCAACTGCTGCTGCCACCGCTGGTGTCATCGTTGATTCTCTCTTCTGCTGTCACTGCGGGCCTCTCTTCTGCTCCATCTGATGCCAGTCCAGCTGTCTCCTCCCTTCCCTGCTCCATCTGACTCCAGCGTTGGCGAGAAGAGCAGCTCCAGCTCATGCCGTTGACTCGCCTGGCGAGAAGAGCAGCTCATGTCTCCTCTCCTCCCTTCCCTCTCATGTCTCCTCTCCTCCCTTCCCTCTCATGTCTCCTCTCCTCCCTTCCCTCTCATGTCTCCTCTCCTCCCTTCCCTCTCATGTCTCCTCTCCTCCCTTCCCTCTCATGTCTCCTCTCCTCCCTTCCCTTGCTGCCAACGACTCCGGCGTTGACTCTGGCGCCTTCTGCTCATGCCGTTGACTCGCCTTGCTGTGAGTTGACTCCAGGGTCGACTCTGGCGCCGACTCTGGCGCCTTCTCTCCTCCTTCTCTCCCCTCGGCCACCTCCGCCAGCATCAAGTAACATCTCTTGGGAAGATGGGACGGTTCAGCAGGTCAGGCCATTTCTTCTCGTGTTGCCATGTCGTGTCGTTCAGCTGGACTTCCCTTCGCGTGCTGTTGTTTGCTCCACGGCTGCTGCTGCTAGGAGGAGGATTTCAGTGCTGGTGCTGCCACTGCAACTCTCTTCCTGTCGCTGCAGCTCTCCTCTGGTCGCTGCAGCTCTCCTCTGGTCGCTGCAGCTCTCCTCTGGTCGCTGCAGCTCTCCTCTGGTCGCTGCAGCTCTCCTCTGGTCGCTGCAGCTCTCCTCTGGTCGCTGCAGCTCTCCTCTGGTCGCTGCAGCTCTCCTCTGGTCGCTGCTGCTCCGTGTTCCACCCACACATTAATGCTCCCTGCACAGCAACCAAAGAGTGGCGACCAAGGTTAATCAGAGAAGAGGCTACAAGAGTAAACAGACAGTGAAATACAATGATTGCAAGAGGAACCCACGGGAGTGTTTAGCCACAGAGTAAACTGAAAAAAAACGAATGCCCAAAGGAAGAGGCTACCTACTTGCTGCTCCTGTCGCTACTGCTCCTGTCACTGCTGCTCCTGTCGCTGCTGCCGCTGCAGATGCTTCTCCTGTCACTGCTTCTCCGTTTCCCCAGCAACGCCTCCCCGTCCGTCCCTGCACAAGGAATCGCGAGTTACAAACCCACAGTGAAGGTTAGTAGCTGGGTAGAGGTTACAAGTTGACAGAGAGAACAGACGACAAACAGAAAGCGAATGATTTGCGAAATGGAGGAGGAGGAGGAGGAGGAGGAGGAGGAGGAGGAGGAGGAGGAGGAGGAGGAGGAGGAGGAGGAGGAGGAGGAGGAGGAGGAGGAAGAGGAGGAGGAGGAGGAGGGAGGGCCGTTACTGGCGAGGCTACTCCCACAAGCCACAGACGCAAGGGAGGTGTTTTAACTCTTGCACTTGGTCTTCATCGTTGCAGCGGGTGGCAAAGGCCGGATGCACTTACGCTGGGCCATTTACCCCGAAGTACCGAAGGGTTAACCGGATGCACTTACGCTGGGGGCATTTACCCCGAAGTACCCAAGGGAAGGGGGTTACCGGATGCTCTTACACTGGGGGCGTTGCCCGAAGTACCAAAGGGGTAAGCGCCTGTGACCCGTGGGGTTCACCTCAACCAGCAACGACGGAGGAGGAGGAGGATGAGAGGGAGAAGGAGAACGGAAGGAGGAGGAGGAGGAGGAGGAGGAGGAGGAGGAGGAGGAGGAGGAGGAGGAGGAGGAGGAGGAGGAGGAGGAGGACGACGACGACGAAGGGGCATGGAAATCGAAATAAACAGAGGGTCAGGGCGAGGAACTTAGCCGGTTGTTGATTGCCGTTGGAGCTGCAGTCAGCATCCGTGCTCCAACTCCAATCAGCAGCATCCGCGCCTCTCCCCTGATGCATCCGCGCCTCTCCCCTGATGCATCCCTTATCCGCAATGCATGCATGAGCCTCTGCCCTGCCTGCACCGACGGAGAAAGTAGGAATGACATGAGATGGACCAGCGAGATGAGTTGGACAGAAAGAGATTGCAGATGAGATGGACCAGCGCTAAACTAACGTAGAGACCAGCGAGTCGAGAAGACCAGCGAGATGAGATGGATAAAAAACGATTGCAGAATCAAGACAGAAATCGGAAAACAAGCGTCCAGAACAGAATTGAGACAGAAAACGGTAACTCACCACAAACGGAATATGTTTACAACAGCCATTAAACGGGAGTGCGTCAAAGTTCTCCTTCGCCCCCAAGTTCCCAGCGATCGAAATTTATAGGAGATGCTCCCGTGTCGCTCCACAGGAAGCGCTTCTGCCGCTCCTGCACGCGTCACAAGGAGAACGTAAGAAGCGTCACAAGGAGAGAATAGGAATGCGATGTGAAACAAGTAGAAAGGGTCACAAGGAGCGCGACCGCGGCTCCTTGAAAGAGTGCGATACGCCATGATACGAAAACGCGAAACGCCATGAAACGAAACGAGTAGACCAGCCACAATCCGTCACGAGAGAAACTGCAGAAACGGAAAACGCTAACTCGTTGAAACGGAAAAACGCTAACTCACGCATTCATTGACGGCGATCGTCGGCGTTCTCCTCCGCCATCCTTCGTCGCGATGCTTCGCGAGCTGCTCTTCGTCGCGAGCTCTTCCGACGTCAATCATCGTCGCGAGCTCTTCCGCCGTCGATCATCGTCGCGCGCTCTTCCGCCGTCGATCATCGTCGCGCGCTCTTCGGCCCTCGATCATCGTCCCGAGCTCTTCCGCCGCCGTTAGAGTCTGACGTCCACGCTTCTCCGTTAACGTCGACGTTGGTAGTGGCCTTGGCTTTGCGAACATCCTCAGCAGTAACGTCGCGAAGAACATCATCAGCAGTAACGTCGCGAGCTCAGCAGTAAAGTCGGGAAGAATTTTCTCAGCAGTAACGCCGCGAAGGAGAATACGCTCAGCAGTATTGTCGGCGAGCTCCTCAGCAGATTTATGAACGTCCTCAGTAGTCACGTCGCGAAGAATACCGCTCAGCAGTAACGTCGAGAAGAATATCCTCAGCGATATCGTCGCGTCGTCAAACTCTGAGGTCGAGAGAAGATCCTCCGTTATAGTAAACTCGTGAGCGATGCAATCTCCTCCTTGTAACGTCGCACAAGGCGATTAGTCTTTAGAGGAAAGCGTTGACGCACGTCCCTAATACTAAAGGTTGCAATTCCCGTTGCGGTTGCTCCGCGTTGTTAAGGTCGCAACAACTTGTGGTTGTCTGAGCTCCACGTCGCGACTCGCGATCATGACACCGAAAACGAATCGATTGATATGCTGTACTAAGGATCTGACGAAACGAATCAACATGAAACGAATAAGCCATTCTGCCACGGTCGTCCAGTCAGGATGAAACGGATTGTAATACTAAGCTTTCTAACGAGCCTGAGGTGTCGCACTGATACTAGTAGTAGCGCTGTGATGACGGCTTAAAACTTCACGATCAATCGTCGTAGCAATGCGTAACCTCCCGAAAAACTGTAGCATCACGTCGTCGAGCACGGAACTGATTGACCATGAAACTGATCGATGAGTCATACTAGCGATGATGAAACTGATCTTTCTCACTAAGCTGTAAGATCCTCTGCTATCATCCTCCTTAAGAATATTAAGCTTAACGCGCTTCGGGAATAGGCCACGTCACGAGAATTACCTCCACGGTACAATAATCTAAGGAAGCCATGGCTACGGATGAATCGAGTTGGAGAACGTGACGAGATTCGTTTCTGAGACAAAGCCTGCATAGGGAATGCCTGAGAGGAATTTGCTATATAGTGACGAAGATTTGGGGAAAAACGAGTCTCAGTACGGTTATGCAGGTTTTATAAAGTTTCAAAACGGTTCAAAACGGTGAAACGTGTTTAAGAAAGGTGAAAAAGTTGATGAGTATTGAGGTGGGGTGATGGTAAGAGAAAGGTGAAAGGGAAGTGACTGAGCGGCAAGGAGCCGCAAGTCGAGTCGCCATGCGGAGTGCTCCCCTCACCTCCACGGCAAGCCCGAGGCGGGGAAGCCGCTGCAAAGTTCGCTGGCGGGTTGCGAAGCCATGATGAAGGCGGGAACGGCGGAAAGTGGTGGGGTGGGATGGGAGTCTCATCAGTGATGACAACGTCTTTGGCAACCAGACGGCGAGTGCGCGGGCAAGAGCCGCCATGTGCGAAACTTTGAGTGACCACGAACTGTAACACTGTGATGGCGGGAAGTCGCTTCTCTTCATCTCGGATGATTCGGCATTCGGATTCGCATTCGCATTCGCATGATTGTATTGTTTGACCAATCATCACCCCAGATGCTGTGGTTGTGGATGTCATGACTCGTGACCCAAAGTCATCACCATGCCTCATTCCCGAGGTGATTCACTTGTGTCAGACGACGGACGGATTCAAATTTGTGTCCTCTGGTGCGACGCCGCTTTCGTCCTCGTTTAAAGGTTTAAAACACCGGCCGACCACCACCCATCACCCCATTCTCAATACACATAGTAATGGAGTAGAGAGGAGCCCTCTCATAACTTTAATAGTAATATTTTAGATATTCCATCAGCAAATCTTCTTTCACCACCACCATCCCAACATGAAACATAAATTGTCTGTATTACTAAACTCACTTTGAGTCATATTGTGCCAATGTGAATAATGGATGGCATGCCCCAAATATACAGATTAGTGATGCATAATTGTAGGCAGGCCTCCATATTGGTTACGATGCGCGCCAAATAATCAGAGAACCCGGGCAATTCAAAAATAAATCAGCCAAAAACACAATATTACACAAAAAATCACAGTTTCCTCGTGTAACTGCATGCATTACGACACCCGCTCGCTGCAGTGTGCACTGCAGTCTGCATTCCTTACGGTAGTCTCATGGTCAGATTGGAAATACTAGAACACATGAAAATTCAGCTGTATTTTGAAAGGCGGATAGGTCGAGTCGAGTGGCAACACACGGCCCAGATTACACTTCCAATCCGATATCAACTCCGGCCGTCCTCCTTGTCGTTGAACACCTTGTGAACGCCAGCCTGCAAGCAAGCACAAGAGCAGTGACAGGAAGAAAAAAATGTAGAGTTTCAGACTCTCAGCCACATCCCTCCACAGATACTTCACATGGAGGGCGACAATTGTGGCAGTTCAAAAAACATTCATAAGCAGGGCCACCAGACTGTCATGGAACATGGCATCATGCTCGCTGTGCATCATCAGACGTGTACGGTTGGTCACACTCACAGCAGTGGAAGCTTTAAGCAGTTCACGGATGGCCATGGTGGCATATCCCGACGCCGGCAGAGAGTTCTCAGAAGTGCATCATGAGACATGGTTGGTGGCACTCACAGCAGTGGAGGATTTAAGCAGCTCACGGATGGCCATGGTGGCGTATCGCGATGCAGGAAAAAAGACCCTTTAGAGAATTCTCAGGGTGCATTATGGCACATGGTTGGTGGCACTCACGGCAGTGGAGGATTTAAGCAGTTCACGGATGGCCATGGTGGCATATCCCGAGGCAGGCAGAGTAAACTCCACCTGCAGCGCCACCCTCACTCCCTCCTCTGCTGCTCCCTCCGCCCCTCGCTCTCCCCTCCTCCCCGCCGCTTGCCCCTTCCCCTCCCCGTTTCCCGCCCCAGCGTCCTGTTCGCCCTGCAATACCTTCTCCTTCTCATCACCACCCTCATCTTTCCCGTTCTCCATCTCACTCTCAACTATCCCTTCCGCTTTTTCTCCATCCTCTGTCGCCGCACCTGCCTCAGCTTCGCCCCTCTCAGGCCCACCCTCCTCCCCATCACCCCCTTCCACCAGGGCCCCAATGGGCCCTTCCCCAATCCCCAAACGCTGCAGCTCATCTCTGCCCAGCCTCACTCCATCTGATGAAGCCAACACCACCACTGCCGGCACTGGCCCTGCTGCTTCCCCTCCTGCCCCTGCTTCTCCTGTTGCTGCCTCTACCCCACTGAGTGCAGCACCGCCAGCAGTAACCCCTGCCTTGTCTTCCCCCCTCTGCGCCTGTTTGAGCGCTCCCTTGTACCCCGGCTGCTTGAACCCATAGTACACATGCGCTGCCTCCACCACTGCAGGGGCGTCACTGCCAGATGTAGCAGCAGCATCACCACTAGCAGATGCAGCAGGGGCATCAGTGGAAGCAGCACCAGCTGCTGCTGCTGCTGCTGTTGAGTTCGAATCTGCTGCTGGACCCACAGATGGGGCAGCAGGTGGGGCGACAGAGGCAGGAGCAGCGGCAGAGGTAGCGGGAGTGGGGGCAGGAGTTGCGAGGGCAGCAGCAGCGATGTGGTCCAAATCAGTCTCTGCCAGCACTTGCGTGGGACGCCAGTATGCCAGGACTTTCCTGCGATGAGTTGTGGGTGGGGGAGGGAGGGGATGAAGCTGCTTCAGTGGACTCGAAGGTCTCTCTGCCAACACTTGCGTGGGACGCCAGTACGCCAGGACTTTCCTGCGATGAGTTGTGGGGGAATGAAGTGGGGAAGGGTGTAAAGGTGAGAATACTAGCGAGGACAGGGGAGACAGAGTGGGGGACGCAGGGAGGGAAAGTGTTACGGAAGTGGGAGCAGGAGGGGGTGTAGGGGAGGAGGTGTGGTGAGGGAAACGGCTGAGGCACGTGGTTGAGATTAAGCTCATGCAGAAAGCAAGGAGCAATGGAAGTCAAAAGCTGTGTGCTTGGAGAAGTGAGAGGGTGAGAGGGAGAGGTGGCTCACCAGTTGTAGTCGGAGGGGCGCTGTAACAAGTAAGAGGGTGGGTGCGAGGGTGAGTGAGAGGGTGAGGTAGAGAGTAATTGGTAGGAGAGTTGGCTCACCAGTTGTAGTCGGAGGGGCGCTGCAGCAGGCGCCTGTAGCCCCCTGGGATGCGCTCGATGGAGTATTCCCTGTCATGCACCATGGGTGGTGGGAGGGATGAGAGAGGGTTAGAGGGTGGGTGAGAGGGTAAGTGAGAGAAAGAATTGCCTTTGCTTCAAGCGACTGTAGCCCCCTGGGATGCCCTCGTCTCCCTGACATGGCGCCATGGGTGGTGGGAGGGATGAGAGGAGGGCGAGTGGGTGAGGGAGGGTGAGAGTGTAAGTGAGAGGAAGAGATGTCTTTGCTTCAAGAGACTGTAGCCCCCTGGGGTGCCCTCGTCTCAATGGAACACTCTCCGTCATGCACGATGGGTGGTGGGTGGGATGAGAGGAGGGTGAGGTGACTTTTGAGTCGACTCAAAAATACTCCCTGTCATGCATGATGGGTGGTGGGTGGGATGAGAGAGGGTGAGAGGGGGGGTGAGAGGGTGAGTGAGAGAGTGAAAGCGCTTGATGGAATACTCCCTGTCATGCAGAGTATGAGCGGGCGGTGCAGCGTATGAGCAGGCGGTGCAGCGTATGAGCGGGCGGTGCAGCGTATGAGCGGGCGGTGCAGCGTATGAGCGGGCGGTGCAGCGTATGAGCGGGCGGTGCAGCGTATGAGCGGGCGGTGCAGCGTATGAGCGGGCGGTGCAGCGTATGAGCGGGCGGTGCAGCGTATGAGCGGGCGGTGCAGCGTATGAGCGGGCGGTGCAGCGTATGAGCGGGCGGTGCAGCGTATGAGCGGGCGGTGCAGAGTATGAGCGGGCGGTGCAGCGTATGAGCGGGCGGTGCAGCGTATGAGCGGGCGGTGCAGAGTATGAGCGGGCGGTGCAGCGTATGAGCGTGCGGTGCAGCGTATGAGCGTGCGGTGCAGCGTATGAGCGTGCGGTGCAGCGTATGAGAGTGCGGTGCAGCGTATGAGCGGGCGGTGCAGCGTATGAGCGGGCGGTGCAGCGTATGAGCGGGCGGTGCTGCGTATGAGCGGGCGGTGCAGCGTATGAGCGGGCGGTGCAGAGTATGAGCGGGCGGTGCAGCGTATGAGCGGGCGGTGCAGCGTATGAGCGGGCGGTGCAGCGTATGAGCGGGCGGTGCAGCGTATGAGCGGGCGGTGCAGCGTATGAGCGGGCGGTGCTGCGTATGAGCGGGCGGGGCAGCGTATGAGCGGGCGGTGCAGCGTATGAGCGGGCGGTGCAGCGTATGAGCGGGCGGTGCAGAGTATGAGCGGGCGGTGCAGAGTATGAGCGGGCGGTGCAGCGTATGAGCGTGCGGTGCAGCGTATGAGCGTGCGGTGCAGCGTATGAGCGTGCGGTGCAGCGTATGAGCGGGCGGTGCAGCGTATGAGCGGGCGGTGCAGCGTATGAGCGTGCGGTGCAGCGTATGAGCGTGCGGTGCAGCGTATGAGCGTGCGGTGCAGCGTATGAGCGTGCGGTGCAGCGTATGAGCGGGCGGTGCAGCGTATGAGCGGGCGGTGCAGCGTATGAGCGGGCGGTGCAGCGTATGAGCGGGCGGTGCAGCGTATGAGCGGGCGGTGCAGCGTATGAGCGGGCGGTGCAGCGCATGAGCGAGCGGTGCAGCGCATGAGCGTGCGGTGCAGCGTATGAGCGGGCGGTGCAGCGTATGAGCGTGCGGTGCAGCGTATGAGCGGGCGGTGCAGCGTATGAGCGGGCGGTGCAGCGTATGAGCGGGCGGTGCAGCGTATGAGCGGGCGGTGCAGCGTATGAGCGGGCAGTGCAGCGTATGAGCGGGCGGTGCAGCGTATGAGCGGGCGGTGCAGCGTATGAGCGGGCGGTGCAGCGTATGAGCGGGCGGTGCAGCGTATGAGCGGGCGGTGCAGCGTATGAGCGGGCGGTGCAGCGTATGAGGGGGCGGTGCAGCGTATGAGCGGGCGGTGCAGCGTATGAGCGGGCGGTGCAGCGTATGAGCGGGCGGTGCAGCGTATGAGCGGGCGGTGCAGCGTATGAGCGGGCGGTGCAGCGTATGAGCGGGCGGTGCAGCGTATGAGCGGGCGGTGCAGCGTATGAGCGGGCGGTGCAGCGTATGAGCGGGCGGTGCAGCGTATGAGCGGGCGGTGCAGCGTATGAGCGGGCGGTGCAGCGTATGAGCGGGCGGTGCAGCGTATGAGCGGGCGGTGCAGCGTATGAGCGGGCGGTGCAGCGTATGAGCGGGCGGTGCAGCGTATGAGCGGGCGGTGCAGAGTATGAGCGGGCGGTGCAGCGTATGAGCGGGCGGTGCAGCGTATGAGCGGGCGGTGCAGAGTATGAGCGGGCGGTGCAGCGTATGAGCGTGCGGTGCAGCGTATGAGCGTGCGGTGCAGCGTATGAGCGTGCGGTGCAGCGTATGAGAGTGCGGTGCAGCGTATGAGCGGGCGGTGCAGCGTATGAGCGGGCGGTGCAGCGTATGAGCGGGCGGTGCTGCGTATGAGCGGGCGGTGCAGCGTATGAGCGGGCGGTGCAGAGTATGAGCGGGCGGTGCAGCGTATGAGCGGGCGGTGCAGCGTATGAGCGGGCGGTGCAGCGTATGAGCGTGCGGTGCAGCGTATGAGCGGGCGGTGCAGCGTATGAGCGGGCGGTGCAGCGTATGAGCGGGCGGTGCAGCGTATGAGCGGGCGGTGCAGATTATGAGCGGGCGGTGCAGCGTATGAGCGTGCGGTGCAGCGTATGAGCGGGCGGTGCAGCGTATGAGCGGGCGGTGCAGCGTATGAGCGGGCGGTGCAGCGTATGAGCGGGCGGTGCAGAGTATGAGCGGGCGGTGCAGCGTATGAGCGGGCGGTGCAGCGTATGAGCGTGCGGTGCAGCGTATGAGCGTGCGGTGCAGCGTATGAGCGGGCGGTGCAGCGTATGAGCGGGCGGTGCAGCGTATGAGCGGGCGGTGCAGCGCATGAGCGGGCGGTGCAGCGTATGAGCGGGCGGTGCAGCGTATGAGCGTGCGGTGCAGCGTATGAGCGTGCGGTGCAGCGTATGAGCGGGCGGTGCAGCGTATGAGCGGGCGGTGCAGAGTATGAGCGGGCGGTGCAGCGTATGAGCGGGCGGTGCAGCGTATGAGCGTGCGGTGCAGCGTATGAGCGTGCGGTGCAGCGTATGAGCGGGCGGTGCAGCGTATGAGCGGGCGGTGCAGCGTATGAGCGGGCGGTGCAGCGCATGAGCGGGCGGTGCAGCGTATGAGCGGGCGGTGCAGCGTATGAGCGTGCGGTGCAGCGTATGAGCGTGCGGTGCAGCGTATGAGCGTGCGGTGCAGCGTATGAGCGTGCGTGCTGTGCTTGCTGGTGAAGAGGTCAGTCAGTGCCGTCGTGTGGTGGAGGCAGGGTCTTAAGGTGCGTCAAAACTCATGCACATGCTGCAGGCATACACACATGCACGTGAGACCCACAACTCACTTAACGCTGTGCTTGCTGGAGAAGAGGTCTATGCCGTCCTGTGGTGGAGGAGGGACGCAGGTAGAGGGGAAGCAGGGAGGTGGGTGGGAAGATGGGAGGTGGGAACATGCATGAGTATTCAAGAACGAGAAGAGAAGAACCATATTCAGTATGAAAACAGAAGAGAAGGTACCCTGCCTGAATGATGGGCTCTTTTCTGACAGCAACGCAGAAGGGAAGACGGGCAGAGAGGAGCACACCTTGGCTTTGAGAGACTGGAAGATGTCAGCGGTGGATTTGTCGCGGTACAGAGTGGTCTACAGAGGCAGCTACAGGCATGGCGACCGTAGGGACAAGCTAGAAGGCGAGGTGGTAGGGAAGGTGGAGAGCGAGAGGACGAAGGGGAAGTGTTAATGGAGAGAGTGACAGCAGCAGAGGGCATACCTTGGCAGCGAGAGAGTGGAAGACTTCAGCAGTGGAGTTGGTGGGGTACTGAATGGAACAGCTGAGGGAGGGGAAAGCGAGGGAGGAGAGAGAGGGCGGGCAAGGTGGGCGGGTGAGGAAAGGTCCGGGGTCTATAATTTGACGAAAGGATCCTGAAATGACCGGCTGAGGGGGGGAGGGAGAGGGAGGACCGGTGTTGCTGGGAGGGGAAGAGAATGGAGTGGACTAGACCTGATGCAAACAGTGGGAATGGTGTCACAATGGTGTGTCCTTGCCATAAGATGCACTGCTTGCATCTGCTTGCAAGCAGTGGCAATGGTGCACGAGATGGCGTGTCCATATTTCATGCATAGGCATAATCACCTCCGGAGCTGCATAGGTAATGGAATTTCATCCACTTCCTTTACGTTTGTGCTTTTTGCGAGAATACTCAAGTCGCAGCACTCACCCCGGCAGCGGCAGCACAACTTGGTCGATAGTACCTACACCCCTCTTTCAGCCTCCTTCGTTTTCTGAATCGACTAAAAACCTGGCAGGATCAGCATGCGTGCAGGGTGTGTCTAAGAATATTCAAGTGGCAGCACTCACTCACCCAGGCAGCGGCAGCACGACTTGGTCGATGGAGTACACGCCTCTCTGCGCCTCCTCCTCACTGACCACCCTCACCTCCTCCCCCTCCGCCCTCGCCTCCACCGCCACTGCTGCCGCCTCCTCGGCCTCCGCCTCTGCGTCTGTGCCCCTCATGCCCCCCTCTGCCCCCACGCCCGCTGCTCTCCCTGCTGCTGCTGCAGCAGCAGCAGCAGCAGCACTAGCAGCCGTGGCAGCGCCAGTGGCAGCGGGAAGGGAGCAGAGCACAAGGTCACCTGCCACCACTCGGGTGGAGCCTGCAGGGAAAGCAGAGGCGGGTAGTGGGGGCAGGACACCATGCGCAGTGGGTATTCACGTGATGCAGCGCGGTGGTGGTGGTGGTTCAGTGTGGCAAGCCTTGTGCAACGATCCAGTGCAATGCCATGCGGTCCCATGAGGTGCTATGTGGTGCAGTGCTCTGAGATGCAGTGTGGTGCTATGAGGTGCGGTGGCATGATAAACCAGCGAAGTGTCACAAGGCAAGGCGGTGAGCGGTGTGATGCAGTGCAGCGCGATATGTTTCTCTCACCGTAAGTTTTGATGCGGTGTGAGGCAGCATGGTTCCACAGATAGCTCTGATAGCTGTGCACGTACCTGCCATGGGGATGGGGGAGAGGTGGGGAAGGAGTGAATGGGAAAAATGAGTGGTTCTTCTTCCACAGATAGCTCTGGTAGCCATGCACGTACCTGACCATGTTGAAGGAAAATGAGGAGGGGAGGTTCATGGTAAGAAGGCGGGGAGGCGGAATGGGAGGGAGGTTACATGGTGAGAGTTTGAAAGGGAGGTTCTTATTCCCCAGGTAGCTCACACGAGACAACTCACATGAGGCTATGGTGCGCGGGATGAAGCCAAGCGCCTGCACCAGATTGCATGGGTTGCGCTTCGAGACATCTCCAGATGCACTTATACCTCGTCATGTCATGCACAGCAGGTGACTCACATGAGCGGCACTCACACCTCATCATGCCATCCACAGCTGACACTCATATGAGGCGCATGGTGCCTCACATGTCCTGTCGTCCAACTGACTCACATGAGGCGCATGGTGCGCGGGATGAATCCCAGCGCCTGCACCAGATTGCGCGGGTTGCGCTTTAGCCCTGACAGCTGCCACGCAGAGAGAAGTGCGGATGATGAATGGGAGGTTGCGGGTGGGGAGATGGACGAAGGAAAAGATTCAGAGGAGCTGAGAGGCGTGCTGAAAGGTGTATGAGAGAGCTGGCCAAGAAAGTGTATGGGGGAGAAGGGAGAGCGACAAGTTGTTTTGGAGCGAGAGGGAGAGAGCATGAACGAACTTAGAGGGGGACGATGCGAGTGTGACTCACCACTCCTCGTTCGGCGACCATTCTGGTCGGCATGTGGATCATTGCAAGGTCGGCGTCTTTTGTCTTCATCCACAGGCGTCTGGCTTCCGCCGCCCCTTCCGATTGTGGCGAGATGAACGGTTGAGATCAGCGTTGGGATGTCACAGACACACGAAGCAGACTGAATGTGATGTAAGGAGTTCTTGGAGAACAGTTTGACTCTTGGAGGCACATTTATGAACGACGGGGGAGTAGCAAGGCACAGGACAGCACCGCACCGCACCAAACCGCACAGCAAAGCAACGCACAGCATAGCACAGCACGGCAGAGCATCACATGATTCTGGGCTGGAGCAGAAGATTCAGCGTGGGGCCAGGCAATGCAAGGCAAGGTGAGGCAAGGCAGGGCGATCAAGGTGTGGCATGGGCGAGCAAGGCAGGTGAGGCAAGCGAGGAAGGTAAGAGGCGTGGTGAGGAAGGTAAGAGGCGTGGTGAGGAAGGTAAGAGGCGTGGTGAGGAAGGTAAGAGGCGTGGTGAGGAAGGTAAGAGGCGTGGTGAGGAAGGTAAGAGGCGTGGTGAGGAAGGTAAGAGGCGTGGTGAGGAAGGTAAGAGGCGTGGTGAGGAAGGTAAGAGGCGTGGTGAGGAAGGTAAGAGGCGTGGTGAGGAAGGTAAGAGGCGTGGTGAGGAAGGTAAGAGGCGTGGTGAGGAAGGTAAGAGGCGTGGTGAGGAAGGTAAGAGGCGTGGTGAGGAAGGTAAGAGGCGTGGTGAGGAAGGTAAGAGGCGTGGTGAGGAAGGTAAGAGGCGTGGTGAGGAAGGTAAGAGGCGTGGTGAGGAAGGTAAGAGGCGTGGTGAGGAAGGTAAGAGGCGTGGTGAGGAAGGTAAGAGGCGTGGTGAGGAAGGTAAGAGGCGTGGTGAGGAAGGTAAGAGGCGTGGTGAGGAAGGTAAGAGGCGTGGTGAGGAAGGTAAGAGGCGTGGTGAGGAAGGTAAGAGGCGTGGTGAGGAAGGTAAGAGGCGTGGTGAGGAAGGTAAGAGGCGTGGTGAGGAAGGTAAGAGGATATCTCCATCTCTGGGTTTGAGCAGCAGGTCAACAGCGGGGCAAGGCAAGGCAAGGCTAGGCAAGGTGCGGAGAGGCGAGGCGAGGTGAAGGGGGCGAGGAAGGTGAGGGGATATCTCCATCTCTGGGTTTGAGCAGCAGGTCCACGGCGCCCTGCCAGTCGCCCCTCAGCAGCGCTGCGCCCACCGTGTGCGTTGCCACTGGACCCACTCCAAAGCGCTGCTCCCAGGGAAGGGAAGCGGTGGGGGTGGGGGACAAGGGCAAGAGTTGGGTGTTTGCGGCGGCTGGAAAAGCTTTGAGAGGTATGCACAGACGAGAGCTTGGCTCTGCTCCTTCCATGTGTTTTGCCACCGGAACCACTCCAAAGCGCTGCTCACACCGGGACAAGCGGGGATGGGGTGGAAGAGAACGGCGAGAGTGGGTTCTGAAGAGGCTTGAAAACCAAACTGCTGCATATACAGGCCCAGAGGAGAGGCGAGGTGAGCATGGGAGGTTTGAGTCGAGTCACTCGTACTTACACTGCACATGTGGGGAGGGGAGCGGGGAGGCAGCAGTACACAGCAGCACCCAGCAGCACCCAGCAGCACCCAGCAGCACCCAGCAGCACCCAGCAGCACCCAGCAGCACGCACCTGCAGGCCAAAGTAGTTGATGATGCCGTGAGAGCGAAGGCCCTCCGCCGCTGCTGTGATGGCGTCTAGACTGGGCGCTCTCACCGCCCTGGGGAACGGGTGGGGGCGGGGAGGAGAGAAGGAGTGGATGGTTGCAGGGGGAAGTGCGGAAAGGGAAGGGCAAGCGGAAGAGGGGCACACCCCGCCCCGCCCACCAGAGGGGGTAATAAGGAAGTGGTTGCGCGCCAGCTGCCCCAGCATGAGGGGTTGGTCGACAAGGCGGTAGTCATGGTTGGGGTGGGGTGAGGTGAGGTGAGGGTTCTCATACACCGTCCATGCACATCAGACCCACCTCAGCGTGACAAGAAAGTGGTTGCCCGCGAGCTGCCCCAGCATGAGGGGCTGGCCCACAAGGTGGTAGTCATGAGAGCAAGGTGGGGTGGGTAAGAAGAAGTCCTACCAGAGGGTAATAAGGAAGCGGTTGCGCGCCAGCTGTCCCAGCACGAGGGGCTGGTCCACAAGGCGGTAGTCGCCCACTCGGATGCCAAACAGCTTCAGGGGTTCCCAAGAGAACAGGGGGGAGGGGCGAGGGGGTTGAGAAGGCTAGTCATGGAGGGCCAGGGGGAGGTGCTCACCTAAGAGTGACGACGAAGCGATTGCCTGCGAGCTGCCCCAGCATGAGAGGCTGGTCCACAAGGCGGTAGTCTTGATGAGGAGGGGGGAGAGGGGCGCACCTGAGAGTGATGACGAAGCGGTTTCCGGCCAGCTGCCCCAGCACGAGGGGCTGGTCCACGAGGCGGTAGTCGCCCACTCGGATGCCAAACAGCTTGGCGTTGAGCGATGCCACCTTACGCGCTGACTGGTTGCTCACTGTCACCTGGTGGGGAGGGGTGATGCGTGGAGGGAGGGGTGGGGTGTGGTGGATGAGTGTGGGTGGCATATGGGAGGATGCCAAACAGCTTGGCGTTGAGCGATGCCACCTTGCGCGCCGACTGGTTGCTCACTGTCACCTGGTGGAAAAAGGGTGCAGTGCACGGTGTGGTGTGATGCGGCGGTGGGGGTGGTGGGCGGGGGTGGTGGCACATGGGAGGATGCCAAACAGCTTGGCGTTCAGTGACGCCACCTTGCGGGCCGACTGGTTGGACACTGTCACCCCTGGTGGTGAGTGGAGGGGGTGTGATACAAGGTGGTGGTGGGTGGGGTGGGCGTGTGGCTGGCACATGGGAGGATGCCAAACAGCTTGGCGTAGTGTAGCACTATTCCTCTCAAGAGCTCTCTCCCTTCCTGTACACCCTCACTTTCCCCAACCTCCTATCACCCCCTGCAACCGCTCTGCACCCACCCTCTGCACAGTGACAGTTCTCTTATCCTTGGTGCCCGAGAAACCCAGCGCCCTGGATTGCACTCCCAGGTAGCGCCTAAGTCCCTCACTGTGACCACCCGTCCCAACCCTAACTCCCTACAACTACCAACCCCTACACCCGACCCCTATAACCACAGTGCACCCACCCACCCGCTGCACAGTCACGGCGCGCTTGTCCTTGGTGCCCGAGAAGCCCAGCGCCCTGCTCTGTACGCCCAGCCCAAGTAGCGCCTGTGGGCCTGACTGTGACCACCCGTCCCAACTCCCCCAACTCCCTACAACCACTCTGCACCCACCCACTACCTACCCACACACTCCCCACCCACCCGCTGCACGGTGACAGCGCGCTTGTCCTTGGTGCCTGAGAAGCCCAGCGCCCTGCTCTGCACGCCCAGGTAGCGCCCCACGAGCGCCATGGCCTCGTTGGTGTCCTTGTTCTCCTTCAACACGTGGAACCTGGTTGGGGGGGGGGGGGGGGGAGGGGGGGGGTAAGAGAGACGGATAAGCACCAGGTGACCAGTGCACGTGCAGAGAGACGTGGGCATGCCAAGTAGCACCCCACGAGCGCCATGGCCTCGTTGGTGTCCTTGTTCTCCTTCAACACGTGGAACCTAGAGAGGTCGGGAAAGGAGGAGGGAGAGGAGTGTGGGATGGGCCGTGACCCGTGATATGGTATGGATGGAGCGCGTGTTGACTTTTGAGTCGACTCAAAAGTCAACTCATGATATGGCATGGATGGAGCGCGTGGAATGTGGGGTTGAGGGGAAGTGCTTTCTATGAGCAGTGAGCATGCGGTACCTTCTGTTCTCCCTTATGCCACGCACATGAGGAAGCGGCGCGCGGTGGTTGCAGGCACCCCATCCGCGCCCTTCCTCCCCCGCCTGTCAAACGCCGGCTGCTCCTCCTCCCCCTGCTCCCCCCCCCGCCCCTCCCCCTCTCCGCCATCCCCCCCTTCCCCCCTAACCTCCCCATCACCATCACCACCATCCCTCCTCCCTCTCTTCCTATCCCCACCCTCCCACTCCTCCCTCCCCCGCTTCCCCCATTTCCCGCCCCTCCCCCCTCTCTTTCCCCCCCAGCGCCCCTCCCGCCACCCCCTCCCATCCCCGCCCCTCTGCCCCCCATCCCCCCGCCCTCCGCGCTCCCCTGCGCGCCCCCCTGCGCCCTTGAGGTTGAGGGCGGGCGGGGGGAGGAAGCGCAGGCGCACACAGCGGTAGGGGGGACCCTGGGGGGCGTCGATGGTATCCGAGACGAGGAAGGGAAAGCCCTTGATAAACGCGTGCATGGCCTGGTGGTGGGGGGAAGGGAGGGGGGAGAAGACACAGGAAAGGTGGGGGGAGGAAGCGCAGGCGCACACGGCGGTAGGGAGGTCCCTGGAGGGCGTCGATGGTGTTGTGTTGGAGACTAGGAAGGGGAAGGCCTTGACGAATGCGTGCATGGCCTGGTGGCGGAAGAGTGAGAGGGAGGTAAGGGGAGGAAGTGGTGAGGGGGAGAAGAAAGGAGGTTAGTGTATGGCACGGCCTGCTGTGCTTGGCCCTGGGGGGCATCAATGGTGTCTGGGACGGGAATGGGAAGGCCTTGAAGAACGCGTGCACGGCCTGGTGGTGAGGGGAAGGAAGGAGGGGAAGAGGTGAGGAAGGGGGGAGACAATGCATAATTTTCCAAAGGCTTTACACTGGAAAGCGAGAGTGCGGAGGTGAGGGAGGGGGAAGAAAGGGGAAGGGGCGCGTTGCAGACAGGGCCGTGCATGCAGGTATAGGCATGGCGCGTTGCAGACAGGGCCGTGCATGCAGGTATAGCCTATAGGCATGGTGGCGTGGCATGGCGCGAAACTCCCCAATCCCCTTCAGCCACATCAGCGACTCACGGCACGGTACGCCTTGTCAGCACTGGCAGCAAACACCACCGGCTCAGGCATGGGCGGCGGAGCCCCTTTCCCCTCCTCCCCTCTTTCCCCCACCTCCCCCCCCTGCACACTCTCCTGCGCCCTTTCTCCCCCAGCTCCCTCCTCTCCTCCCTCCTCGCCTCCCTCCTCTCCCTTCGCCTTCTTCTCTTTCCACCACAGCTGAATGCCTCTAATCCCTTCCAGCAGCTGCAGCAGCTTCCTCGCATCTTCCTCATCGCGCAACCCCCCTCCCCCTCCCCCTTCCCCCTCCGCGCTCCCCCCCAGCGCCTGGCGCAGCTGCGCCAGCACCCCCTGCGCGTCCACGAGCTCCCCCAGGCTCTCCGCCTCGCGCCTGCGCGCCTGCTGCTGCGCCTGCTGCTCCTGCGCCAGCAGCGCAGGGGGCACGTGCAGGTGGGTCAGATGCACCACCGTACCATCCGGTGCTACTTCATTCACTATGAAATCCGCGAACCTGTGGGGAGCATGGGGAGGGGGGAGGGGGGAAGCAGAGGGGGCTGGCTGGATGTGCTGCTCCTGCCGCCAGCAGCACGGGGGGCACATGCAGGTGCGTCAGATGCACCACTGTGCCGTCCGGTGCCACCTCATTCACTATGAAGTCCACAAACCTGGGGAGGAAGGCATGGGGAGGTGGGCATGGGAGGGGAGCAAGGGGGGCTGGATGTACTGCGCCTGCGTGCCTGCTGATCCTGCGCCAGAAGCGCGGGGGGCACGTGCAGGTGCGTCAGATGCACCACTGTACCATGGCTGTGGTGGTGCTCCCAGGACAGCATTGCGGGGGGCACAGCGGTGACATGGTCACACGTGGTCACCACACGTGGTCACGCACGGTCATGCACGGTCACGCACGGTCACGCACGGTCACGCACGGTCACGCATGGTCACGCAGCATGGTCACACGTGGTCACAGATGGTCACAGATGGTCACAGATGGTCACAGATGGTCACAGATGGTCACAGATGGTCACAGATGGTCACAGATGGTCACAGATGGTCACAGATGGTCACAGATGGTCACAGATGGTCACAGATGGGCACAGATGGTCACAGATGGTCACAGATGGTCACAGATGGTCACAGATGGGCACACGTGGTCACGACTGGTGACCGTGTGTGTGTGACCGTGTTACTGATGGTCACACGGACCATGGGTAACCGAATTCATCGGGATTTGCGAGGCTTCAAGAGGGGATCAAGACGGCTGCAGCTGCTGCTGAAGCGCCCGGCCCAGCATGCCTCCGCCTCACCTCTGCTTGAGCACGCCGTGAATGCCGAGAAGATCGTTGGCATAGCAGCATATGCCCACTGACTCCCCTGTCGCCACCACCACTCTCCCTCCTCCCCGCCCTGCCCACCCCCACCATCCTCCCCCCCCCTCACCTCTGTTTGAGCACGCCGTGTATGCCGGGCAGGTCGTTGGCATAGCAGCTTAGCTTATGCCCACTGACTCCTCTGTCGCCGCTATCACCTCTCCGCTCCGTCAAGCAAACCCGTGCCTCACCTCTGTTGCTTTGCCGACTGACTCCTCTGTCGCCGCCATCACTCTCCCTCCTCCCTGTCCTGCCCAGCACTCCTCCCCACTCCCCCGCCTACGCCTCACCTCTGTTTCAGCACGCCGTGAATGCCGGGCAGGTCGTTGGCATAGCAGCATATGCCCACTGACTCCTCTGTTGCCGCCATTCGCTCCCAATCCTCTCCGCCCTCCCCGTCTTCCCCCTCCTCGTCGTCCCCCTCCTCTCCGCCTTCCTCCTCTCCGCTTACCCCCTCCGCAGTCTTTTCCCCGCTCTCACCTACTCTTTCCTTTCCGCCCCCGTCTACCCTGAACCCTGTACCCGCTCCCTCCTTCTCCCCCCCTGCTTCCCAAAGCCTCCCCTCAACTCCCTCCCCCGCACACGCGACTGCTTCAGGCGCGCTTTCCGCTTCCGCTGCGCCTCCTGCTTCCGCGGGTGCGGAGTGGCGAGTCCGCCACGAGCGGATTGCGCCAAAGGGAGCGGGTGGGGAAATGCGAAGGGCGCCCACGCGAGAAGCGGTGGAGGCTTGAGGGATACGAGGAAAGGACTGCCGCCCGCGGAAACCTATACGGGCAGAGGAGGGAAGGCGGAAAGTGGGATTGAGCGGGGGATTGTGGAGGCGAACGCGGAAGAGAGGGGCAATGCGCGAAGTGAAGGGGACTGCCGAGGATCGCACGACGGGGACGGCGATTGGTGACATAAACACTCGCGCGACGCGGAACTTAAGGCGGTTAATTGCGACAGACGGCAACAGTTTCTACGCCTGGTAAGCAGAATCCTTCGACTGCTCGGAGGTGGGCACTGGAGTTCAGATCACTTGGAATTTGGGCCTAAAAACGGGGCCTCTTTCCCATGCGAAACCAATGTGTGCTGTGGTTACCAATTTGCTCAGTATCGTGAATACCCGGCCGCAATTGCCTTGCCCCCACTCCACTCAAGCCTAAATAATGTAAAAGAAGATCCCTTCAATAGAATCCATCACTCATAAAATGCAATAAATGCAATAAATGCAATTGTATGTGGACAGCTTCCAGCCCCAAAACGCGGAAGGATCCGCACATGTGCAGGAATACAGCGGGCGCTCTTCATTCGCGAGCACCGATGACCGATGATGCTCGCAACCCTCCCACGCCCTTGCTGGCTTAGTAATAGGCCCAAACGTACGCAGCCACGTGACCCGGCGGAAGAAAAACGCTCGAAACGAGCGCTTCCAGCCCCAGAAATGCGGAAGGATCCGCACATCTGCAGGAAGTGCAGCGGGTGCTTTTCATTCGCGAGCATAGATAACCCATGATGCTCGCAACCCTCCCACGCCCTTGCTAGCTTGGCAATAGGCCCAGACAAGCACAGCCACGTGACGCGACGGAAGAAAAACGCTCGAAACGAGCGCTTCCAGCCCCAAAACGCGGAAGGATCCGCATTTGTGGAGAAAGTGCAGCGGACGCTCTTCATTCGCGAGCGCCGATGACCGATGATGCTCGCAACCCTCCCACGCCCTTTCTTGCTTGTCAGTAGGTCAAGACAAGCGCAACCACGTGGCCCGGCGGACGAAAAACGCCTAGAACGAGCGCTTCCAGCCCCAAAACGCAGAAGGATCCGCACATGTGCCGGAAGTGCAACGGACGCACTTCATTCGCGAGCGCCGATGACCGAAGATGCTTGCAACCCTCCCACGCCCTTGCTGGCTTGGCAATTGGCCCAGACAAGCACAACCACATGACCCGGGGGAAGAAAAACGCTCAAAACGAGCGCTTCCAGCCCCAAAATGCGGAAGGATCCGCACATGTGCAGGAAGTGTCGCGGACGCTCTTCATTTGCAAGCGCAGATGACCGATGATGCTCGCAACCCTCCCACGCCCTTGCTGGCTTGGCAATAGGCCTAGACAAGCGCAGCCACGTGACGCGGCGGAAGAAAAGCCCTCGGAACGAGCGCTTTCAGCCCCAAAACGCGGAAGGATCCGCACATGTGCAGGAAGTGCAGCGAGCGCTCTTCATTCGCGAGCGCCGATGATCGAAAATGCTCACAACCCTCCCACGCCGTTGCTGGCTTGGCAATAGGCCCAGACAAGCGTAGCTACGTGCCGCCGGCGGAAGAAAAACGCTCGGAACGAGCGCTTCCAGCCCCAAAACGCGGAAGGATCCGCACATGTGTAGGAAGTGCAGCGGGCACTCTTCATTCGCGAGCGCCAATGACCGATGATGCTCGCAACCCTCCCCGCCCTTGGTGGCTTGGCAATAGGCCCACCAGAGAAGCGCAGCCACGTGACCCGGAGGAAGAAAAACGCACGGAACGAGCGCTTCCACCCCCAAAACGCGGAAGGATCCGCACATGTATCGGAAGTGCAGCGGGCGCTCTTCATTCGTGAGGGCCGATGACCGATGATGCTCGCAACTCTCCCACGCCCTTGCTGGCTTGGCAATAGGCCTAGAAAAGCGCAGCCATATGACCCGGCGGAAGAAAAACGCTCGGGACGAGTGCTTTCAGCCCCAAAACGCGGAAGGATCGGCTCATGTGCAGGAAGTGCAGTGGCCGCTCTTCATTCGCGAGCGCCAATTACCGATGATGCTCGCAACCCTCCGACGCCCTTGCTGGCTTGGCAATAGGGCTAGACAAGCGCAACCACATGACCCGACGGAAGAAAAACGCTCGGAACGAACGTTTCCAGCCCCAAAACGCGGAAGGATCCGCAAATGTGCAGGAAGTGCAGCGGGCGCTCTTCATCCGTGAGCGCCGATGACCGATGATGCTCGCAAACCTCCCACGCCCTTGCTGGCTTGGCAATAGGCCTAGACAAGCGCAGCCACGTGGCCCGGCGGAAGAAAAACGCTCAGAACGAGCGCTTCCAGCCACAAAACGCGGAAGGATCCGCACATGTGCAGGAAGTGCAGCGGGCGCTCTTCATTCGCGAGCGCCGATGACCGATGATGCTCGCAACCCTCCCACGCCCTTGCTGGCTTGGTAATAGGCCCAGACAAGTGCAGCCACGTGACCTGGCAGAATAAAAATGCTCGGAACGAGCGCTTCGAGCCCCAAAACGCGGAAGGATCCGCACATGTGCATCAAGTGCAGTGAGCGCTATTCATTCGCGAGCGCCGATGACCGATGATGCTCGCAATATTCCCATGCCCTTGCTGGCTTGGCAATAGGCCCAGACAAGCGCAGCCACGTCACCCGGGGGAAGAAAAACGCTCGAAACGACCGCTTCCAACCCCAAAACGCGGAAGGATCCGCGCATGTGCAGGAAGTGCAGCAGGCCCTTTTCATTCGCGAGCGCCGATGACCGAAGATGTTCGCAACCCTCCCACGCCCTTGCTGGCTTGGCAGTAGGCCCAGACAAGCGCAGCCACGTGACGCGACGGAAGAAAAGCGCTCGGAACGAGCGCTTCCAGCCCCAAAACGCGGAAGGATCCGCACATGTGCAGGAAGTGCAGCGGGCGCTCTTCATTCGCGAGCGCCGATGACCGATGATGCTCGCAACCCTCCCACGCCATTGCTTGCTTTGCAGTAGGTCAAGACAAGCGCAACCACGTGGCCCGGCAAACGAAAAACGCTCAGAACGAGCGCTTGCAGCCCCAAAACGCGGAAGGATCCGCACATGTGCCGGAAGTGCAGCGGACGCATTTCATTCGCGAGCGCCGATGACCGAAGATGCTTGCAACCCTCCCACGCCCTTTCTGGCTTGGCAATAGGCCCAGACAAGTGCAGCCACGTGACCCGGGGGAAGAAAAACGCTCGAAACGAGCGCTTCCAGCCCCAAAATGCGGAAGGATCCGCACATGTGCAGGAAGTGTAGCGGACGCTCTTCATTTGCAAGCGCCGATGACCGATGATGCTCGCAACCCTCCCACGCCCTTGTTGGCTTGGCAATAGGCCCAGACAAGCGCAGCCACGTGATTCGGGGGAAGAAAAGCCCTCGGAACGAGCGCTTCCAGCCCCAAAACGCTGAAGGATCCGCACATGTGCAGGAAGTGGAGCGGGCGCTCTTCATTCGCGAGCGCCAATGACCGATGATGCTCGCAACCCTCCCACGCCGTTGCTGGCTTGGCAATAGGCCCAGACTAGCGTAGCTACGTGCCGCCGGCGGAAGAAAAAAACTCCGAACGAGCGCTTCCAGCCCCCAAAACGCGGAAGGATCGGCTCATGTGCAGGAAGTGCAGTGGGCGCTCTTCATTCGCAAGCGCCGATGACCGATGATGCTCGCAACCCTCCCACGCCCTTGATGGCTTGGCAATAGGCCCAGAAATGCGCAGCCACGTGACCCCACGGAAGTGCAGCGGGCGGTCTTCATTCGTGACCCGGTGGAAGAAAAACGCTCGGAACGAGCGCTTCCAGCCCCAAAACGCGGAAGGATCCGCGCATGTGCAGGAAGTGCAGCGGGCGCTATTCATTCGCGAGCGCCGATGACCGATGTTGCTCGCGCCCTTCCCACGCACTTACAGGCCTGGAATTAGGCCCAGACAAGCGTAGCCACGTGACCCGGCGGAAGAAAATAGCTCGGAACGAGCGCTTCCAGCCCCAAAACGCCGAAGGATCCGCACATGTGCAGGAAGTGCAGCGGGCGCTCTTCATTTGCGAGGGCCGATGACCGATGATGCTCGCAACCCTCCCACGCCTTTCGTGACTTGGCAATAGGCCCAGACAAGCGCAGCCACGTGACCCGGCGGAAGAAAAACGCTCGGAACGAGCGCTTCCAGCCCCAAAACGCAAAAGGATTCGCACATGTGCAGGAAGTGCAGCGTGCGCTCTTCATTTGCGAGTGCCGATGACCGATGATGCTCACAACCCTCCCACGCCCTTGTGGCTTGGCAATAGGTTGAGACAGCGCAGCCACGTGACCTGACAGAATAATAATGCTCGTAGCGAGCGCTTCCAGCCCCAAAACGCGTAAGGATCCGCACATGTGCAGGAAGTTCAGCGAGCGCTACTCATTCGCCTGCGCCGATGACCGATGATGCTCGCAATTCTCCCACGCCCTTGGTGGCTTGGCAATAGGCCCAGACAAGCGCAGCCACGTGACCCGGGGGAAGAAAACAGTCTCGAAACGAGCGCTTCCAGCCCCAAATTGCGGAAGGATCCGCACATGTGCAGAAAGTGTAGCGGACGCTCTTCATTTGCAAGCGCCGATGACCGATGATGCTCGCAACCCTCCGACGCCCTTGCTGGCTTGGCAATAGACTCAGACAAGCGCAGCGACATGACATGGCGGAAGAAAAACGCTCAGATTGAGCGCTTCCAGCCCCTAAACGTGGTAGGATCCGCACATGTGCAGGAAGTGCAGCGGGCGCTCTTCATTCGCGAGGGCCGATGATCGATGATGCTCCCAAACCTCCTACGCCCTGTCAGGCTTGGCAATAGGCCCAGACAAGCACAGCCACATGACCCGGGGGAAGAAAAACGCTCGGAACGAGCGCTTCCAGCCCCAAAATGCGGAAGGATCCGCACATGTGCAGGAAGTGTCGCGGACGCTCTTCATTTGCAAGCGCCGATGACCGATGATGCTCGCAACCCTCCCACGCCCTTGCTGGCTTGGCAATAGGCCCAGAAAAGCGCAGCGACATGACACGGCGGAAGAAAAACGCTCGGATTGAGGGCTTCCAGCCCCAAAACACGGTAGGATGCGCACATGTGCAGGAAGTGCAGCGGGCGCTCTTCATTCGCGAGGGCCGATGATCGATGATGCTCCCAAACCTCCTACGCCC